ACGAAAGCTTGTCTGAACTTGCTGGTCAGTATGAGATATGTATACAGAAGGTGGTTATGAATCTATGTGTATAGAAAACTGCGTTCAGAATCTGTACTACGACTCCAACTATATCTCTCAGTAGGGCAGTGAGCAGTCAAGCAGGGAGGGGGGCACCACCCAAACCAGGTGTTTTTACATGAAACCGGCTTTTTTTTCCAACCCAGGAAAAGGCAACGATGGACCATTAGTGTTAGGGGGAAGGCATAGAGACAGCCGGGTTATCAAGCCAAGAAGGAATTTCTCCACTCTGGCTAAGCAAGAGTCATCATAGACAGAGAGAAAAATAAAAGGGAAACCTTTTAAAAACAGGCTTGAGACTGAGGGCTTGTCTACACTTAAAAGGCTCCAGTGGCACAGCTCCGCCGCTGTAGTGTAGACAACACCCACACAGACGGGAGGGGTTCTCCCGTTGGGTTAGGTACCCACCTCCCCAAGAGGCAGTAGCTAGGCTGACAGAAGAATTATTTCGCCAACCGAGGGCTGTCTACACAGCAACTTAGGTCAGCTTAATTATGCCGCTCAGGGGCGTAGATGTTCCACACCCCTCAGCGATGCAGTTAAACCAACCTAATTTTCCAGTGTAGACCAGGTCTGAAGTTTTTTATCCAGAACTTGGAGGGACAGTCTCTAGAGGTAGGAGGCTGCCCATGAATGCTGGATCCCTCCTATAGCTAGACGGTATGTGGAGAAACTGTTTTAGGGCAATAGGTAACTTGTATTTGAAAAGGGATTTTATCTAATACAGAACTGTAAAGTCGGAGGCTGCGTCTACGTTTATGTACTATGTAACTTGTACAGGTTTTCACACCTTTACGATTTCATCTTTGAACCTGTGGTTTTTCTATTAAACAAAACTTTTGGGTTTTTTTTACCCTAAGCAGGTCTCTAGCATACAAACTGGGTGGAGCATGGGGGCCAAAGTGAACTGATAACTGGGAGCCAGTTTCATGCCTTTAGGGGTGAGGAACCAGATGGGAATAGTCTGAGCATCTAGTACTTAAGAACTCGGGGAGGATGGATTTGGGACTGGAAGGTCAGGTGGTGTCTCTCTGCAAGGAGCACCTAGGCTGGTGAAAGCCAGGGTGAGACCTTGTGCTTGTGGGCAGGCTGCTAGTGTCAGGGGATTAAACCATAGCTGCACAGCACAGGGACACAAGGTTACAGGGCAGGCAGTGACAGAACCCCTAACCGGGCGGGTGATCCCCAGAACGTCACACTGACCACGTGCAGGAAATCCGGCATGCATGCATGCTCAGAGGGGACTGGGCGTAAAGAGTCAAAGCAGCTGCTGCTATACACAGCTATATTTGTAAGGACATGCTACACGCCTGGCAGACTGGTAATAAAACAAATCGCCGTGACATGGAAATTAGGGTCTCGGGAGGTTGCTACACATTAAGTCAGTCAAAGGGCCTTCAGGTTACAACAGCGCCCATTGTTATGAAGCCAACACAGAACACTACAACAAAGTTAGCTACTAAACTGTAGCAACCAAATGAATCAAGACTTTGGCATGGCCGTTCTTAGCTTCACGTTCTAAATAAGGCACCAGACACATTATAAAGGAGGTAAAAGAATTCTCCTTCCCACATTTTCCCTCAGTGCCTAGCTACCAACTCTGATGCTCACCTCAGATGTTGTTCAGCAGCTGGCCACTGTGATGTGGCACAGTAACTTCTGGAGTCACAGAGACCTCCGGGAGTCCGGGTAGGTCTACTGCAGAGTCCCCAAACCACCGCCTCTCCCACCCACGTCCAGCAGCGGTTTGCCTCCGCACTGCAGCAGACTGATCAGAAACTCCTCTGACCAGCTCTGGGTGAATGGCCTGAGATCCACACGTCCTCTGGGACTGAGCTGAGTTCCAGCACTAGCCTGAAGAGCAGGCCTTTGGCACGTGGCACCTCCTGTGTGAGCCTCCTCATCTGCACAGCATTTCCAGTCAGCCCAGCATTGCGGCCTTACACTGTTCTTCTCCAGCCAGAGGCATCTAGCTCGTTTTGGGGCTCAATTAGCTGCTGTGACAATTTAGGTTGCTCCTAACCGTATAGGAGATGCCTTGTTCCTGCTGTCTGAAGGACACCCTGAGAAGCTGACCTTGGAGCTGTTTAAGTTAAGGGTGGGAGAAGGGGCTGGTTTGCACAGTGCTCCTGGGAAGTTGTCTTTGCCATGCAGCCGAGTTGTGAAGGTGGGTGGATGTTATGCCAGATTAGCCTGCTCAGGCTGGAGAAAAATAAAGGCAAAAACAAGCCTCTCTCTGCCGAGTGGGCTAGCCCTGCCCTGCAGTCTGCAGCAGCGAGTTGCTGACTCTCCTAAGCCTATTGTCTGAACATTCACTGGTGCCAGAGCTGTGGTGTGCTGCCAGGCACACATGTGGCTTTAATTGACTGCAGGAGTCTCTCTCTCTCTCTCTTTTTAAAGACATAAACGATGCCATGCACTGGCATCAGGCTGGGGGCCGACCAGCGCCATCCTCGTGACAAGGGACGGCGTGATAAGCCAGCACCTTCCAGCCACACTGACAATGCATCCCACGTGTCCCACGACAAACGCGGGGACACGGGCCCTGCAGCTCTGTTATGTTGCAGAGCACCACAAAACTCAGCGCCTGGCTGTCATGCAGCTTTATGAGAATGTTAGCAAAGGGGCCTGGAAACTGTCAGCTCGGTCTTCAATCCCCACAGGCACGGATGTCCTCCTGATCCTGGCACTGCACATGTCGCTGCTACAGGTCTTTAGCAATAAGGGGAACACGCATATTTCAGGTGTTATTTCCTACTCCCCAACCTTTGTCTTTATTGTTTGTACATTGTCCATTTTAGGACCTGATCCCTCTGCTAGGCCGAGGCACCTCAATTCACAGTGATTCTGATGGGAGCAGAGGACGCTCAGTGTCTCACAGGACTGGATCCTAGATTTTCAGCTCTGCAGGGAGGGAACTGGCTCCTGTGGTCTCTACACTGCCAACAAAGTATTGTTGCTCTCCCACCCAGGCACGGCCTCTACATCCTGGTTGAGCCACTCAACTCCTCAATATGTGGCAGACGGAAGCAAAGACCCCCTTGTGGTGCGAGGGTTTAACAAGACCTCCCCCGGCCCCCTCGGTGGGGTTTGCACGCCAAGGCCTTGCTTGGAGGCGTAAAGAGACTCTGCTCCTACTTTTCTCACCTTGTCAGCTGCACCAGGCAATTAAAGGAGAGAACTCTGTGTTCTAATGCAAGAGCAGCTTTAATCTGACCCCAGGGCGGGGCCGGGCTCAGACGGTTAATCACCAGCTGGGCTCTGCTCCACAATGCAAGCCACCACCACCAAGAAAGCAAGCAAGTGGTTAGGGCTGTGGCTGCCTGACATCACCTAAACCCTACAGCTCAGAAGGAGGCAAATGTGGCCTCTGCTTAAACACTCCTCTCCAGGGTCAGCGCTGCCTTGAAAGCCTGGGGAGGGGAGGGGAGGGGGGGGAGGAGGAGGAGTACGACCAGGGGGTCAGGCAATGCCTTCCATCTGCTCTGCCCCCCAGCTTCCCCTGGGTTGGTTGCCTGGCATGACCAGCTTCACCAGCACCTGAGCTTGCATGTCCCCTGGAGTTGTTTTTAAATGGGCTCCTCCACCCTAACAGGTGTGTTTGAACCCGGCACCAGTATGACAGTTACTGCTCCCCACGGGATCTGGCTTGCATGAGCAGGATGTCCTCCTTCCCTGCAGAGGCGATGCGGGGGTGGGGGGAACGCAGGGTCACATGCCCCCCCAGACTTCTCAAGCCACCTCTTGCCGGGATGCCTAGCAGCGAGGAGGCAGCAGCGCTCACCATGTGTCCGTGCAGCACGGGGAGGGAGGGAGGAAGCAGCAGGGCGGCTGTGGCTGGCTGCGGGCTGAGCTCCCCCACCCACTACATGGGGCTGCTTCTCCTTCTCTGCTGCTAGAGTCCCAGCGCTTCCTGCTGCCTGCTTTGCAGGCCGCCTGCTGAGGTGAGTCACGGGGGCATCTTCAAAATCGGGAAGAGGAGCTGCGACTTGGTGCCCAGCACCAGGCAGCTCAGGTGGAGCCCCATCCAGCCCGAGAGCCCTGGGGTGAGTGAGGGGAGCAGGCTGGGGGGGTAAGGGGGACCTGACCCTGCTGCTGCAATGCTGGGAGTGCATTGAAACAGCAGCAGCCTCCCTCCAAGGTCTCTATTAAGGAGAAGGCGATTTGGGGGTGTCATATCCCCACTCCAACCAAAAGTGGCTGATAATTCTGCAGCTTCTTGTTAACTGAGACAAGCCAGCCCCAAGCACCGTCCCACCCTGGCGCCACCCATCCTGGACTGCGCATCCCAGCTGTGTTCAAGCTCTGCAAGGGGCAGGCCAGCCACAGGGCAGAGAGCAGGAGGAGGAGGAAGTTGCTGGTGTATGTTGTCTACATACAGATCAAGTTTTAGGGGATGGAGGCAGAGGCAACATGAAAAGGGTGGTCACATGCCCCCACAGAACCTTTCAGTTGTGCGACACCCCGCCCCCCTCACTATCTACACTCATGTGTCACCTCTGATCTCCCCCCCCTGCCCCCCATCATAACAGGCACCATCCTCTTTGCTCCACCCCAGGCACACAGCAGGGGGGAAGGCAGCCCTCACTGTGACTGAGAATGCAGGAAGTGATGTCTCACGCTAGAGAAGAAGCGAGCTCCTGCGCGGTCCCATCTCCTCCATGGCCGTGCAGAGCGCCATTCGCGCTGGAGTGTGGCAACAGCAGGCTTCACCCTTCCCTGCAGAGCACCTCAGGTCCAGCCCGGGCCGCTGTCAGGCGCTCGCTCCCACCCTGCTTGTTATGGCGCACGGGAGGCAAAGGGGGCCCTGGCGGCGCCATATTTTCTCTCTGATTGGTGGAGAGTGGCAGTGGGAGGAGAAGGCACCGAACTGGCTAGAACAGGTGCGAGTAACAGCTCCAAAACCACAAACGAGTCCCAGGGTCCCCGTGGCTTCTTACCGTGCTGCTGGTGGCTTTGCTGGCATGCTCCATCAGCTGCCAGTACTTTTTAGACTCCTGGACAATATCTTCATGGGTCATCCCTGAAAACGACAAAGCAGAGACATGACTGAGCATCCCCACACCAGTCTGCTGACCCAGGCACTGAGGAGGGAGGGAGGGGGGTGTGGCTCCTTTCCCATCACCAGCCCAAGACTCCATTTCTAGTAATGCTGCAGTTCATGCCTGAATCACATGGATCTTTAGTTTACAGGCTAAAAAGATGCTGGAGTCACATCCCTGGAGACTCCGGCCTTTTACTTATCACCAGAACAGGTTCACCACAGGCCAAGGAAGTTCACATTTCCTCCACACTCACTCTCTCTCTCACCCATGTGAATCAACACCCCAGAAGAGAGAGAAGAATTTAGTCTCCATGACTCAGTCAGTCTTTGGCCTTCCTGCTGAGACAGAAATTGCCAACAAAGGAGCCAGTGGCTAAGATGTGGACACTTGTCCTACAAAATCTTGACGAAGACCCACCAAACGATTTCACGCAGAGTACTGACCAGTCAGCAGAGGTCTTGTAAATTACTACCAACCTGCGGCCGGGATGGAGCTGGTGCCTTAAGATGAAAGGCTGCATACAGTAGAACGTCAGAGTTAGGGACACCTCAGGAATGGGCTTCTGATCTTCAGGAGCACTGGGGCTCAGAGCTTCAGCCATGCAGGGGGCACAAGGGGGCTGGGAAGGGGGCCAGTTTCAACCCCAGCACTCCCCCCGTAGCTAAAGCTCCAGCGCCCCCACAAAACCGAACCCCAGCGCCCCCCTGATCTAAAGCCCTGAGCCCTGGTGCTCCAGTGGGTCAGAAGCCCTATCCACCCCCTGCCCAGAGTCCTGACCCCCGCCACCATGCGGCTGCAACCCCAACCTCATCTTCCCCCCTCCCCCCCCCAAAGCCTTGAGCCCCAGGGCTAAAGCCCTGAGGCAGTAAATATTTGGGGGGAGGGGGGGAGAGAAGATGTCTGTCTGTCTCTCCGCTGCTGCCTGATGATTTCCGGTTCCAGAGGGTGTCCGGTTGACCGGTAAGTCCAGAACTCTGGTGTTCGTATCTTTGAGGTTCTGCTGTATATCACATTCCCCTGAGTCAACCAGTCTCTGATCGATCTTGAAAGTCTAAGCTAATTCCTGGCTCCAAGATTCAGTCTGTCTGTTTATGGAAAGTCTCTAATCAAAACTGGGTGACTTAAATCCACTCAAAACAAAAAAACAAAATCCAAATAGCAGGCCGTACATTTTACTGGATACCAACGATGGCTCCTCCCACTAACAAGACATTCACATATTTAGTTGAAGATAAATGTCTACAGTTTTTGTACCAGTATAGCTATATTGGTTAGGGGTATGATTGTTTACCAGTATAGCTCCTAGTGTGGACAGTTATATCGGTATAAAGATACCTTAGACCAGCATAGCTTTTCCTGTACAGGAAGAGGCATAAGCATATTTATACCAGTAAAACTGTGTCCAGTATACAACTTGTGCGTGTAGACAAGTCACAAGGGCTGAGCTACACACAAACTGTAGCTAAATAACTAAATCAGGTGTAATTCACACCTCGTCGTACTTTGCTGCAAGTCTGTGTGTAGACACTCTTTTTCAAAATAAATGTCCTATTTCAATTTTGCTAAAGTTGGTAAGAAAAAGACTCTTACAGAAACATTGCCTTGGTCACAACTTATCTCAGGAGTTAACTCCTTGATGGGTTCAAGGATCTGAACCAGAGCCTTTGCCAACACTACCAGCGTGGAGACAACCAACCAGCATTAAGATTCTCAGAGCACTGAACAGTGAGAACTTGTTAATTTTCTAGCAGGCGTACAAGCATGTAGTCAGTGGAGCACTATGTGGTGAGACATCTTTAACTAGCTGGGTTACTGCCAAGCCTAATTATCTCGTTGCCGTGCAGTTTAGAGATGGCGTATGAAGGATGTTTAAGATGTCTGACCAATTTCCAGCTCATTGAAACCAAAAACACCAGAAGGTTGCTTTAATAAGGCCCCACTGATACAGAAAGGCAGCAAAGCTGTATATATTACAGTCACTGAAAGCTGTTATTATGTTAGCTTTGCTATTACAGAGTACCACGTGAATGCTCTTTTGGCTCTGAGAGCCTGTGTAGTCCAGAGGGTGGGAAGCCAGGAAACTCTATACTTATGACCTGCTGTGTGGCCCTGGACAAGTCAGAATATTCCGTGCCTCAGTTTCCCCATCTATGAAATAATACCATCTGGCAGCTTTCCAAGCATGTTGGGGCATTCATTTTGTTAAAGTCTGTACAGTGTGTTGAGGAAAGCCAAAGCACTAGGTAAGCATTTTTATTATTCAAGCACACCCAGAAATGCCTCTGCAGCAGCAGCTGCCCTGTGTTTGGTACTCAAACCAGTGTTTTCCTGGTTATCTCCTTGTTGATAGAATGTGGGGTTAGCCCCCAGGAAAGACTGCATAATGTCATTCTGGGTTCACTTCTCCCAGCCCTCATGCATTCTGCAATTCCAGAATGTAGGATAAAACCAACCTCTTACCAGAAGATCCTGCTCAAATATCTTTTTAGTTTTAAAATCACATTTTTTGACCTTGTGGTTGTGAAAAAAAAAAAAAAAAAAAAAAACTTCCAAGTACAAACAGTGAGTGCTGTCCTCTTGTGTATGCAGGCAGCCTGAAACAATGGCTCTGAGCCCTGATCTACACTACGAGTTTAGGTCGCATTTAGCAGCATTAGATCAATTTAACCCGGCACCCGTCCACACGACGAAGCCATTTTTGTCAACTTAAAGGGGTCTTAAAATAGATTTCTGTACTCCTTCCCGACGAGGGGATTAGCACTGAAATCGATATCGCTGGTTCAAATTTGGGGGTAGTGTGGATGCAATTCGACGGTATTGGCCTCCGGGAGCTATCCCAGAGTGCTCCATTGTGACCGCTCTGGACAGCACTTTCAACTCAGATGCACTGGCCAGGTAGACAGGAAAAGCCCCGCGAACTTTTGAATTTTATTTCCTGTTTGGCCAGCGTGGCAAGCTGATCAGCACAGGTGACCATGCAGAGCTCATCAGCAGAGGTGACCATGGAGTCCCAGAATCACAAAAGAGCTCCAGCATGGACCGAACGGGAGGTACTGCATCTGATCGTTGTATGGGGAGACGAATCCGTGCTATCCGAACTCTGTTCCAAAAGTCGAAATGCCAAAATATTTGAAAAAATCTCCAAGGGCATGGGCTATAACAGGGACCTGCAGCAATGCCACGTGAAACTTAAGGAGCTCAGGCAAGCCTACCAAAAAACCAAAAGAGGCAAACGGCCGCTCCGGGTCAGACCCCCAGACATGCCGCTTCTATCATGAGCTGCATGCAATTCTAGGGGGTGCCCCTACAACTACCCCACCCCTGTCTGTGGACACCTGCAAGGGAGTCTCACGCAACAGGGATGAGGATTTGGGGGATGAGGATTAGGAGGAGGATGAAGATAGCGCACAGCAGGCTAGCAGAGAAACTGTCTCCCCGACAGCCAGGAACTGTTTATCACCCTGGACCCAGTACCTTCCCAAGGGGGGCTCCCGGACCATGAAGGTGGAGAAGGCCCCTCTGCTGCGTGTACCTTTGTAAATATAATGCATGGTTTAAAAGCAAGCGTGTTTAATGATTAATTTGCCCTGAAGACTTGGGATGTTTTCCCAGCCAGTACAGCTACTGGAATGCAGTCAAGCAACATCCGTTCTTTATCTCTCTGTTATCCTCAGGAGAGTGAGATCATTCATGGTCACCTGGTTGAAATAGGGGAATTTTATTAAGGGGACATTCAGAGGTGGCCGTTCCTGCTGGGCTGTGTGCCTGTGGCTGAAAAGAAATCACCCCCGCTGTTAGCCACGCGGTGGGGGGAAGGGGGAAGCGATCATCCCAGAGAATTGGGTGTGTGTGGGTGGGGGGGGGGGGTTAGTTGCACGTTAACCCAAAAACCTTAGCCCCTCCTTTTAAATGGCCAACCCATTTCTCCTTTTTTTCCCTCCCGCAGCTGCAAATGTTTCAATGCTACCACTATCATCTCCGTCCCAGAGGCTAGCGCAGATAAGAAGGCGAAAAAAAACACACTCGCGATGAAATGTTCTCTGAACTCATGCAGTCCTCCCGCACTGAAAGAGCCCAGCAGAATGCGTGGAGGCAAACAATGAGGAAAGCACAAAATGAATGCGAGGACAGGAGGGACACGCGAGATGAGAGGTGGCGGGAGCAAATGCTGAGGCTACTGGAGGATCAAACTGATATGCTCAAGGTGCAGGAAAGGCAGCAGGAGCACAGACCACCGCTGCAGCCCCTGTGTAACCAACCACCCTCCTCCCCAAGTTCCATAACCTCCTCACCCAGATGCCCAAGAACACCCAACCACTCCACCCCAGAGGGATGCCCAAGCAATAGAAGGCTGACATTCAATAAGTTTTGAAGTGCAGTGTGGCCTTGTCCTTCCCTCCTCCACCACTCCACCCAGTGCTTTCCTCCTCCACCACCCCTCCCAGGCTACCTTGGCAGTTATCCCCCTATTTCTGTGACTAATTAATAAAGAATGCATTAATTTGAAACAACAATGACTTTATTACCTCGGCAAGCGGTGATCGAAGGGGGGAGGGGAGGGCGGTTGGCTTACAGGGAAGTAGAGTGAACCAGGAGGGCGAGTTTTCATCAAGGAGAAACAAACAGAACTTTCACACTGTAGCCTGGACAGTCATGAAACTGGTTTTCAAAGCTTCTCTGATGCGCAGCACGCCCTGCTGTGCTCTTCTAACCGCCCTGGTGTCGGGCTGTGCGTAATCAGCGGCCAGGTGATTTGCCTCAACCTCCCACCCCGCCATAAATGTCTCCCCTTACTCTCAAAGATATTGTGGAGCACGCAGCAAGCAGTAATAAGGATGGGAATATTGGTTTCGCTGAGGTCTAACCGAGTCAGTAAACTGCGCCAGCACACTTTTAAACGTCCAAATGCACATTCTACCACCATTCTGCACTTGCTCAGCCTATAGTTGAACAGCTCCTGACTACTGTCCAGGGTGCCTGTGTATGGCTGCATGAGCCATGGCATTAAGGGGTAGGCTGGGTCCCCAAGGATAACTATAGGCATTTCAACATCCCCAACGGTTATTTTCTGGTCTGGAAAGTAAGTCCCTTGCTGCAGCCGTTCAGACAAACCAGAGTTCCTGAAGATGCGAGCATCATGTACCTTTCCTGGCCACCCCACACGGATATTGAAGAAACATCCCTTGTGATCCACCAGGGCTTGCAGCACCATTGAGAAGTACCCCTTTCGGTTTATGTACTGGCTGCCTTGGTGCTCCGGTCTCAAGATAGGGATATGCGTTCCATCTATTGCCCCACCACAGTTAGGGAATCCCATTGCAGCAAAGCCATCCACTATGACCTGCACATTTCCCAGAGTCACTACCCTTGATAGCAGCAGCTCAGTGATTGCATTGGCTACTTGGATCACAGCAGCCCCCACAGTAGATTTGCCCACTCCAAATTGATTCCCAACTGACCAGTAGCTGTCTGGCGTTGCAAGCTTCCAGAGGGCTATTGCCACTCACTTGTGAACTGTGAGGGCTGCTCTCATCTTGGTATTCTTGCGCTTCAGGGCAGGGGAAAGCAAGTCACAAAGTTCCATGAAAGTGCCCTTACGCATGCGAAAGTTTCACTGCCACTGGGAATCATCCCAGACCTGCAACACTATGTGGTCCCACCAGTCTGTGCTTGTTTCCTGGGCCCAGAATCGGCGTTCCACGGCATGAACCTGCCCCATTACCACCATGATGCCCAAATTGCCAGGGCCCGTGCTTTGAGAGAAGTCTGTGTCCATGTCCTCATCACTCTCGTCACCGCGCTGCCATCGACTCCTCACCTGCTTTTGCAGGTTCTGGTGTTGCATATACTGCAGGATAACGCGCGAGGCATTTACAGTGCTCATAACTGCCGCGGTGATCTGAGCAGGCTCCATGCTTGCCGTAGTATGGCGTCTGCAGGAGAGCAGAGTGGCAGCGGAAGCGTGACGATGTTTTGCAGCCCTATTGTACCGTCAGCTGCCAGCAGCATCCAGGACACAACAGCGGCAGCTGAGCTGAGCTGCCATGGTATGGTGTCTGCGTGGAAAAAAGGCGCGAAACGATTGTCTGCCGTTGTTCTCACGGAGGGAGGGGCGACTGATGACATGTACCCAAAACCACTTGCGACAATGTTTTTGCCCCATCAGGCAGTGGGAGCTCAACCCAGAATTCCAATGGGTGGCGGAGACTGCGGGAACTGTGGGATAGCTACCCACAGTGCAACGCTCCGAAAGTCGACGCTAGCCTCGGTACTGTGGACACACTCCGCCGATTTAATGTGCTTAGTGGGGACACACAATTGACTGTATAAAATTGCTTCCTAAAAAAATCGACTTCTATAAATTCAACCTAATTTTGTAGTGTAGACATACCCTGAGAGGTGTGAACTGCATCAAGCATCTCAATGGGATAGGAATGCGAAACCTAAAGCCAACTATTTACATTTCGACATTGTCACCCTCCTCTGTACCATCCCCCAGTATGGAGGGCAACTGCCCAAGGAGTCCAAAAAACCCCAAGTGGTGTTGGATGGTGGCAAAAGAATGCCCACTACCATCTGCTACTCGCTAGAAGATTGCACCCATCTGGCTGTGGTGGCCCAGGCATGTGTGTCCTCCAGGCTTGATGAGTGCAATTCATCAGCCCTAGGACAAAGCCTGAGAAAGCTCAAGTGGCTTCAAAACGCAGCAGCCCACCTGCTTAGCAACACAGGTCACTGTGAACACATCACCTCCAGTACAACCACCCCTGCACTGGCTCACCAGTGAGCAGAGTCCAAGTCAAGCTCCCAGCCCTGCTGGTCAAAGCTCTCCATGGGATTGGCCCTAGGTCCCCAAGAGAGCCTCTCTCCCTCCGTAACCATGAACTGCCATGGCAGCTACATTTCACTGGGAGCGTCAGCCATGGAGGGCAGGCTCTTGAGTGAGCCAGAGACAAAACTTTCCCAGGGCCTGCCCCTAGATAACGGCACTCACTCCTGCAAAGAGACAGGAATGAGCATGGAGTGAGTCCCCTGCGCAACTAAATGCAAAACCCACACACAGACACACTCACTCGCACCCAGGCTGAGGAGGAGGATGGAGATTATATCCGTTATTTCTCTTTTTACTTAGGAGGGCTTAAATACTACAGAGCCCATCAGTACAACAGGCCACACAAGCACCCTGAGAGGCAGGCAGATATTTCTCTGCTTTCCCCTCCGGGTGGGCACCAAGTGGAACTGCCACAGGTTTAGGAGCCTGCCTAAATGGCCTTTGCCTGCCTAAACAGGTCTTCTCATTTCGGCCGAACCCCTCCAAGCACACTGCTGGGTTCTCCGTCAACTGTTCCAACGCAAGAAAAAGAAAGAGTCGGGCTTCATCCTGGGACAGGTCAGTGAAAATCTCTGCTCAGCATGCAGTGAGTCAGAGAATCAGACAAAGTACTTGGAGGGGAGAGAAAAAATCAGACTGAAGAGATCTCCGTGCCCTTATGTAAGTGACCTGAATTGAAGAGCATGCTCCAAGAGGGGGCGGACGGCCTATTGCCAACTACTTAGTTTCCATAACAGACTCTTGGGAGTGGCTTTATCAAAGTTTTTTTGAACGTTCAAAGAAATCCCATTGGTTACCACTATTTTGTGACGGTGTACAAAGAAGCGAAACATCAGAGGGCCCAATTTCCTTTCACTGCAGCTGCACCAGCTTGTCCCTGCCATGTCCTGATCACCTAGCTGTTCTAGGACTCTGCTTCGAACGAGAATTTCCTCCAACACACATGGTCCTGAGGTAAAGGCTCGCTGGGCTAGAATTCCTCCTAGACAGACAAACCTGGCAACCGCACTGGAAGGGCCGACCTCTCACGGTCCCACCTCGATCTCCTACAAGCCGGGAGAGGGAAGGGAGGGGAGGGAGTGCATGTATTGAGAGAGAACATAAAATTTCCTGAACTCTGACAGAGTCCCCCCCCAGGCCCTCTCTCTGTCCCCAGTGGCACAGTACCTGGGCTGGAGAAGGCACGAGCACACGCTCTCTGCTTCTCTTCCCTCCCCACCCCACAGCCGCACCCAGTGGCGCGCTTACCCGAGTATTGCTGCAGCAGCCAGACCTTGAGCTCGATGAAGCTGTGAGCGAAGTGGCAGCTGTCCTCACGCAAGCAGCCGTAGCGCACCTCATGCCGGCACACGTCAAACTGGAAGTGCTCCTGGAACTGGCGGATCTTAGAGTATTTCAGGGAGGTGGAACGCACAATATGAACCAAACACCTGCAGTGGGGAAATGGCCAAGCCAGAGAAACACAAGGGATCAGCGGATTGACTCTTCACCCCTCCTCCTCCCCACATTCACTGAGCCGGCTGAGGCACGGGTGGGTGTTACAGCTGATCCTAGGAGTCACTAACAATCTGGGTGGATCGAAGTCCTGGGTCATGCCTTGTCCCCAACCCCGGAATACTTCAGGCAGACACCTTGCACCACCTTGTTTAAAATATCTGACCTCTGAACCCCTGTGCAGCATAGGCCAGATCCAAGCTCATTGGAGTCAACTGCAGACTTTCCACTGACATCAATGGGCTCTGATCTGGCTCCAAATCCCTTGGCACCAGGGGTCAGACATGCAGCTCAACATATCACACCTTGTGCTTTCATGTGCTGGGGATGAGAGGAAGAAATGGGCAAGTAACATGAGCTAGCTGGCTGGGCTCTAGCGGGGTTACTCCGGCAGGCACTGCACGGGCCAGTTCACTCACTTGTTGTCGTAGAAGCTGTGTTTGGCAGCAAGGTTGGAGCAGACAGCTGGAGAGTCCTTGGTCCCTTTGCTGATTATCCGGGGTTTGCTGTCAAAGCAGATCTGAGAAGGGAAGAATCAGCACACTAGGAAATCTCAGAGAGCAGGAAAAAGGAGAGATGCTGCCAGAGATCTCACCCAGACTGGGATCATTTCACTTGGAAGGGAGAAGAGCCAGAGGGAACTTACTCGAGAGGTCCAAAAATTAGAACAAGCCTGATGGAAACTTAAGCAGTAGAGCTGCTTGGAAACCAGTAAACACATTTTGCAAACATTTCCAAACAGAATTTTTGGCTTTTTTTGTGACATTTCAACAGTTTTTTCCATCACAGTTGGAAAAATTTCAACCAGGTCAACTTATAATTCCCTTCTTTTCATCCAAAAATGCAAAAGCAAGGGGAAACGATAGGGGAAATTAAAGACGCGTAAGTCCAAAACAAAAGTCATGTTCCTTTACACGTCACCCTGGGGAACATGCTGCTGCAGGAGGTCAAGACGGAGAGGGCCAGATCCTCAGTTGATGTAAATCAAGGTAGCTCTACTGGCTTCAAAACAGCCTGTGTTGTGCAGGAGGTCAAACTAGATGATCACAATGGTCCCTTCTGGCCTTAGAATCTATAAACAAGTGACACTAATTTGCTTCAGACGGGGATTTTTCCCATCACATGGTTATGGTTTGTCAAACAGCCGGGTCAAAGTTATGATTATTAACTACCTTGCTAGCTATGAAAGCCCAAGGTAGTCAAACTGCATGCTCCGGGCGTGAGCTGACCACCTGCAGGGGACAGGGAGGAGTTACCCCTCCCACACCTACAGCATCGCACAGTTGCTCAGGTACATCACGGATTGTTCCGTTTTGTCACCTTCCTCTGAAGCAACAGGGACCGGCTGCTTCTGGAGGCCGGATACTGGCCAGGATGGACCAATGGTCCGGCTGCACACCAACAGCTGATCTAGGGTGGGATGCAGCGGAAGGGAGCCTGCCTCTTTCACGCACTTACAGTAGAGTTACATTTTGGATTTGCACTACTAACGCGGGCACTTATATCTGCAACAACAGGGAATGTGTGAAGTTTGTGCCTACAGCTCATTCCCCAAGGAAACGGTGCTCCCCCCTCCTCTTCCTCCCTGTACCTCGCAGAGGAAGGTGAAGATGCCCTGGTGTTCCTTCAGGAGCTTGGCAATGGTCAAGTTGCCCCGCTTGATCCCTCCCAGCGGGTCAAAGAGGAGGTCACGATTGAGTGTTCCCTTCCTTTCCTCCGTCCACACGTCGATCTCCTCCTGGTGGTACGCGAAGGTGCAGTTATCCCCGTACTTACAGTCCTGCTTGTTAATCATATCTACAAAGCAACAAAGAGCAGAGCACCCCGCATGGAGGGGGGCCAGGTCAGAAACTGAGCTCGCCCTCGTCACCTCGCCCTGCTCCCCACAACTCACAAGGAGCTAAAACTGAAGAGTTAAGAAAGACACAAAGCCTGAGCTTTTGGCCCCTCGTTAGACACTTTATAGTTACACCACCTTAGAGACTAGTCTGGTTACATCTCATACACTGAGCAGGGTCGGGCCTGGTCTGGCCTAGGATGGGGAACTTCTTGGGAAAGCCCCAGTGCCCTGCAGCAGGGCTGGTTACTCAGCAGGGAGGGCTCTGGCCAGAACCAAAGTCCCAGCACGTGCTGGTGGGAGCAGTATTAGTAGTTCAGTGCCAGCGGGAGACAGGCTCTCCGCCTCAGCGGGGCACCTAAAACTGGTTGCTTTGAGAGAAGCAGGCTGCAGTCCTGCCATTCCCACCACCCTGCGAAATCTCCAGCGGCCAGGCGCATCGCTCTTTCCAAGCCGTCCTGTACCCAGAGCGATAGCACCAGCTGCTGCTCCGCTGTGCAAAGCTCCCGTTTTCTACCATGTGTTACGGGTTCATCCGTCTCGTCTCTGGTTCTCACTCCGCCCCCCCCAACCCCTGAAACCCAGCGATCATTTCACGAAGGAGCGAGAAGGCTCCAGAGGGAGCACGCGATCCCAGCTGAAAGCTCCCCTGCTACCTCTGCCGGCATATGCCTCACAGCCCCCCTCCCCAAGCTCACCTTTGCACAGGTAATAGGATCCCACAAAGTTGGTTTTGGTGGGTCGGGGCCGGATCCTCTTCCAAGTCTTGTCTTCAGAGTTTCGCAGTCTCCCCAGCAATATGTCCCGCTTGCACTTGTGCTCCAGGCCTTCCCGGTAAGTGTAGTCACCAGCCTTGGGGCCTATGGGAAAGGAGGACCCGATCAGCAAGAGGGAAGACAATCCCCAAGCACACGAACTGCTGCGGGTGTCATAAGCACATCACCTGTTTTGGGGTAGCAGAGGTGGCAGGCTTGCTTGAAGACATGAGTGGACGCCAGGGGGTTCTTCACGAGCAGGGCAGTGTTGGGCATCACCGCCTCTGGCTGAGACTGCAGGAGCTCCGCCCCCTTGGGGATGGTAGGGTGACTCACCCCACTGAGGCTGACCTGAAAGACAAAAAAAACCACACACATCCCTCTTCTAAACCTCACAGCCAACGGACAGAAATTGACCCCCAGACTAACACTGGGCCCCTTCATGACCACGCAAACACACAACAGAGCTCGTGTCTCAGCAAGATGGCCGCCACCAGCAGCAGGCGGCTCAGAAACGGCAACAGGAACACCGGAGTTGTGTTTTCAAATACACTCAATGGGCAATTTATCTGCAGCAGAGAAGGACCTCTCCTTCCCCACGGAAGGGCCAGCAACTCAGGGGACAACAGCTCTTTCTTCATCCCTGGAGGAAGGGCTTCTCTCCCCCACCTTCCAGCACAATGAGTTGTGCATTCCACGGCACTTGAACAAAAGAACTAACCCTGCCGTGCAACGTGTCAGACAGAAAGAAAACAGGAAGGACGGAGGTTCAGCGATGTCCCAGTCCCACTCAATAACCTAGTTTAGACAGAGGCAGATCATCCTACCCACAGAGCTCCTGAGAGGAAAAGCCTCAGCCCAACCTCAGACCCGGTGAGACCAACGTACAATCCCATGCATGACGGAGATTGGAGTGGAGCATTTAACTCCATTCAGACCCCAGTGATACAGTGGGGGAGGGGACAAAGAAGGAAGGGGAAAATGCTGTGCTACCACATATGGAGAAAGGCCTCCACACAGCCCTGCCACCACACGGGGCGAGCGGGAAGGAGGTTACGCACACAGGGCAGGGTAACTGAAGCCACCAGATTTTGGAACTGATTAAGAAAGGGCCCAGAGTGCAAGAATAGCCCTGTACCCTCCCCACTCCCATGGCACACGGGCACCTTGGTACATCCAGCAGGGGTAGCAGCTCACTCACCGCAGGAGATGGTTTCTGGCTGCCAGCAGTGTGTCGCAGTTCCTGAGGACCAGCTTCTTCTGGGCAGAGGAAGAAAAATCCCAAACACACACATCTCACTTTCGGAAGCTGCTCTGATGCCCGAGACAGAGATTTGAGCTTGTTCAACAGTTTTTTAATTCTTTTCATCTTCCAGGAACATCCAGTACCCAGGGCAGAGACTTGAAAACTTCTGCAAGAGCCTCCCCTTTTCTGAAATCCCCAAAGGCAACAGACCCCCACTGCCAGCTGCCTGAAGAGTGCTTTTCACAAACAGCAAGAGACCAAAGGAATTCAGCGCAGACGGGAGCCTAGGTTCCAGCACAGTCCTCACTGGGCAACCTCTTCTCCGCTTGTGATGCTCCAGCATTCAGTCTGCTGTAACATCCCCATGCAGCCTACCTATGCCCCAAGGGGCTGAAATGCTCCTTACCTGATCTCCCTCCAGAGCCCGGCTCCACAGAACATGACTGGAGTGCTCTTTGGGCTATGACACTTATTGCTCACAGAGATCAAAGGAGGCAAAGACTGACTAAACCATCTAGTCCATCCCACCCTGCCCAATGCAAAATCCTGCCCTACAGTAGATTTGCCAAGACTTTGCCAAAGTCTGTTTTAAATGACTTGGCATGAAAGGGCTCCCACGACTTCCCTTAGGAGACCTGTGTCAGGCAATGTTTCTTTGATATCGAGCCTGAATGTCCCCTCATTACTCGAGCTTTACCCGCTGGGATAACCCTGAACAACAGCTCTGCCTCCTTGGTGTCTACACCCTGCAGATGCTTGTAATCAGCGGTCACACCCCACCACTCCTCCATTATCGCTCAGACAAGCCATGCTGATATTTAGTTCTTTTAATCTTTCCTCCATCTCAATCAATTCTCTGGAAGCTTAATTATTGGTCTCTCTCTTCTCTGGCATTGACATCTGTCTGCTGTGGAGATGCTCAGAGCTAAACACGGTGTTCTAGGGGCACTGTCAGCCACAAATGCCTGCAACCCCCACTCCTCTGTGCCCTGCACCTACCTACAGCAAAGGAATCCAGGGCATCCAGTGAGCCCCTGCTAGTTCCAAAGGCGTCTAGGGCATCGAGCCGTGGCTCTGTGTACGGGAGCAGGTCCAGTGAATCCAGAGAATCCAAGGGGGAGCCACCACTGCCCCCAGTGGGCTCAAAGGCATCCAGGACAGAAGAGGAGAGCTGCTTGGTGGGATCCATCACCAGGCCGAAGGAGGCAGGTGGCAGTGGATGTTGGTTAATCGGGATGTTGGCTGTCACCACAGGGGGCAGCAGAGGGGTTCCACCCGGAAACACGGGGATCAGCTGGGGCATCTCAGTAGGCAAGTTGGTGGGAATGGTTCCCTGGACCAGAGACTTTGAGAGTTGGGAGGAAAAGGGGGCAGAGAAAGCATGTTAGAGAAAGGACTGGAGGAAGCATGTGTCAGAGAGATGGGTGGATGGACAGAGCGCACTACAGCAGCGAGTATAACATGGTCTCCCACTCCAGAGTGCACAGCACTTAACTTCAGAGCAATAAGCCAGCCTCTATCCTCCATGCCCATTTTCACCCCCAAACACAAAAGCAGGGGGTGGAAGGGAGAAAGGTGCTATCTTCATTCCCATGGGGTCTAGCCCCTCCATCTGGATTTATGTATTCCACTCACACTAGGCCATCCAATGAGCCAAGATCTAAGATGGGCTCCTTAGAGACACACAAGCCAGTGATGGGAAGAAAGAAAGGGACCGAGCACACACTGCCAGATGAACACGCGACGGCGAGGAGAGAGAGAACATGCTCTAAAGGATGGATTCAGAACACGACCGGAGCTCTTACTAGAGGGTACTGTGACCCGTCAGCCAGGGAATCCAGAAGAGAGTCCAGTTCTTCCCCAATAACCTCCCCATCTGTGAAGTCCTCCACACTCTCGGGCACGGGCAGGGATACGCAATCCGGAGAATGGAGCAGTGTGGCGGCAGGCAGAGAGGTGGGCAGGCCCTTTGCATCCATGTCAGAAGCTGAAAGGGCTGCACCCTCGCTCACAGGGATGGAGGTGGCGAGGGGAGCAGGGATGCACTGCAGGTCCATGGAGAAGTCTGCAAGGGGGAGGAGGCGGGGGGAAGACACAAAGCCAGTCACATGGCGCCTGGGGGTAAGCCGAGTGCGGCTTGGCCAAAGAACACAAGATGTACAACTTAGTTGAACCTCAAGCACTTAGCAGGTGAAACCTTTAGAGACTGGTAGCTCCAGTTTCAGGGATTCTTGGCCTTTGTTTTTTGTCTCAGACCTCCCAAAGGCCTTCACAGAATGTCTCGTGAATAGCCAGACAATGCTCACCTCCCATGATGATGCCTGGGAAGCGTCTGCAGGCCAAATCTTGGTCTCACTGAAGTCAACGGCACAACTGCTACTGAATTCAGTGGTGTCTGGTCGTGACCCCATGAGTCCAGTTACTCTATACCCCATTGTCCGGTGGTTTTTAAATGCTTCTGAACTGCCTCCTCCTGCAGAGCTCAGTTGTTCTCCCAGCACCTCTGCTCCTTGCCGCCCCTGTGCCCCCCCCCCACCCACTAAAACCCACTTCTCCTCAGGCTCTCTAAGTTCTGAGCTTCCCTGTTGGGGAAGGGAGGGGACACACAAACCCTGATTGGGGAGGGAAGCAGGGTAAGGAAGCCCAGACAAGCCTCCCAAAGATCATACAGAATATTGGGTCCCCAAACATACATTTTAAGACTCACCAGATGCCCTTGCCAGAGTGGTGCCTAACTCTTGAGTACCCCTCCCCTCGATGTCTGCAGGAGACAGGCTTAAAGATCTTTACTGTGTTACTGAGGCTTCCCTCAATAGTTTTAGGGGCGATGGGGGGGGAAGGAGAGAACTTTCCCTACAGCTTCCTTCACCCTCTGGCCCAGTGTTCTGACTATTCGAAAATGAGGCAATTCTCCCCCGCCCCCCACCCCCAAATACTCTGTTAAGGTGAAGTTAATGTGGCAAGCACATGTTTGTCATCTGAGCACGCTCTATCCTGCAAAACTGTTAGAGTTTAAAAAGAAACAGTCCAAACGTTAGACCCCCAGGAGATGCAGAGTTACACATGTAAGTCTCAAACCAGGCACCCAAACTACCTTCATTCTGCCCCCGTAGCGATGCCCTGAAAAGAAAAAAAATCAGAAAAATACTACCACCTTCTCCATCCACTCCAAAGAGTTCCATGTTCAGAGATTCCAAGGCCCGAAGGGACCCACCCCGGTGATCATCTAGTCTGACCTCCTGTATAACGCAGGCCACAGAACCTCCCCAAAACATTATCAGCAACCGCAAAACTAGAACGCCTTCATCTCCTCTGATTAGTGATTGGGCTGCTTTGTGGTCGTACACAGTACATATACCAATTCCTGAGCAGACAAATAGCAAAGCGAAAGCAATCATTCCTCACTCTGCATTAACAGCCCAATTCTGCGACATCCTGAAGGCTCGTAAGAGACGCTCATCGCCTCACAGGTTTGGGTCTTATGATTCCATGTGACAGTCAATGATTCAAGAGTCATTAAGCACAGAGCTAATGTGTTTCCACATACAAACGTCATACACCCAGATCAAAAAATGGGGCCCTTTAACGGGGCCCAGCAATAGTTAGTGCAGTGACAAATCGTCACACTTAGTATTGCAGACATTTATGCAAGGAACAAATAAAAACCAATGTGCTGTGGAGCATGGTTTTCAATACGCGGTTAAGAAGGGTGGGTGTCGGGGTGGCATTTCTACAGGGGGAGAAGGGGGGGGAAAAATAGAGTTAAGGTAGTTTAGTCTCTGGCAGGAAGAGTGCAACCTTGCAACTTTCACTCTGCGTTTCCTGGGGTTCTAAACATATAAGGCTCCAATTCTAATGTCCCTGGAGGGGAGCGTATAGTCAAAGCACGGCTCCGTGTCTACAGTCTTAACTTTAAAGTTGTTTTGGTTGGGAATGTACAGCAGAATCGCATGTGTTCAAACCCGGCTTTAGAGCTGAAAATAGGTTACGTCCCCATGTGTTTGTTATTTGCATTGATTAGTCCCCATTTACCCAAAAACATGACATGTCCCTTGTTCTGCTTGGATAGCTAGATTTCTGTTGTACAAGGTTCTCCTAGTAAGTGCCTTCTTAAGACACTGATAGAGGGGAAAATCAGGTTAACAGTTTACTGAGGATTCTGAAGTGAAGAGAAACCAATATAAAGAACAGCACCGCCATATACTCCTGCTCCATACCACCTCCTGCCCCATCCCCGCTAGGCTGGTCTCTTCCAGTCTCCAAAGTCAGGCCCCAAGAGAGGTCCAAATGAAGACAAAGCAACTATTAGTCCAGCCAACCTGAGCAGGTGCCTTACTGCTGCCATGAGAAACAGAAAGGAGAAAGCTTTACCTGTTTCAATATCATCTATGGAGCCCAACCCATTGGAAGTCATCTGTAAGGCAGGGAGGAGGAGGAGAACTCATCACTACAAAGACATCTTTTGAAAGGTGTTAGTGCTTCACAGCCCCAAATCTCCCCTCCCAAATATCTTCAGTGCAGTCTGCAGCTGCTTCCCTCCTCTCCCCCAGCCCTCGCCTTTCAGTGCTGGAACCATTAAACTGATGTACTGTTAGACCACTATTCCTCCAAGCCTGGTATTTCACCTTCAGCAGTGACCAAAACCTGTATTCCTCTGAAGTAATAAACCCCCATAATACCCGACCTTCTCAGTAATTCTGCACATGGGATTGCATGTGGGTGAGAATATTCCTTCCTGATTCCCAGAGTCAATCAGCTAGCCCCACAAAGCATGAGATCTGATTAGCCTTATCTTACATAACTAGCCTTTCTTTGCTTACATATCTTTCCATTTAATAACCACTAATTTTTACAGCAAGACTAAAAACAGGAAAAGGTTCCCACCAAAACAACTGCTGACTGTGAGCCCTAGGCAAAGAATAAATGAGCAACTTTACAGAAGTCTGAATGCTGCTGCTGGAAATAAATTTTCCTAATAATTTTATTAGGCCTACCATGACTCCGTTTCCACACAAACATTCCTGTGTTAGTCCAAAGGCCACTTGGTGTTGGTTATATCCAAAATACAAAGATAAGCAAATATACCTATATTCTATACTCCAGCAACAATACAGTTCTAAGTATTTTGGCCAAACAGGCTCCGGTTCGGGAGACACCATCCCATCATGGCATCACTCTGACAAAGAACCCCTAGAAAACCTTGCCTTATATGCACTCTAACAAACAACTGATATCATTGCTGGTTACCGGACCTTGGCTAAGGTCAGATGAAGCAGCTTAGAGCCGAGCTCTATCCTCTGCCCTGGTCGAGACAAGATTAATGACTGCGCCTCTTTCCTCGAGGTTTTCTTATCTCCTCATTTTACCATATTTTGCTCTCATTACTAAACTAAGCATTTCTTTATAATCAACTCAACCAATTATTTACTGCACCTGGTACCCAAATAATAATATTTTTAAAATTTCTATGACCTCAGCCCAAATCTTAAATAAGATAACACTAGTATTTTAAGGGTCACCACAAGTTTAACACAAACAACTCTTCCTTCTCATGATCTGACTCTTTTTAAAAATCACAGGCTTTGGACCTATTCCTTATGCTAAGATCCAAACTCAAGTTAAAACCACACTTCACCCTGGTCTAATGTGAGCCTATATTCCAACAGTGCAAACACATTTTTCTTCCTGCTTTCAGTTAAAAATGACAGACACCAGCACAACAAATATTTGAGATTACACATTTGCAACTCCATCAGTTACAACTTCAGTTTTTGCAGTGTTCTAATTTTCCATAAAAGGGAAAATTTTCAATGGAAGAAGATTATGGGCGGCTACAAGAAATGATCTTAGGCTGATTCTCACTGCTAGACAGATATTAAGGCAAGGCACCCATCAATGTAAACTTCAAATTGTATTGCTCTAGTATCTTTTAAGGGGTTTTTAGGTTCATTTAAAAAGGGACAATGTCAAATAGTGCTAGGTCCCAAATTTAAGAGCCTAAAATGATTGTCAAATAATTTTTTTTAAATATGAAGCGTTTTAGTGAAATCTCTTAAAAACCAGCAATGAAATCAGTGATCTGATTATTTTTCATTCTGTGTTTGTACAGTGCCTAGCATAATGGTGTCCTGTCCATGACTGAAGCTCCTAGGTGCTACGGCGATACGAAAGAGTAAATAATAAATTAAGCAATGTTTAAATTTGCATGCTTCACTCAGCTTGGAGAGTGAAATCCTCCAGTCTAGTTTCACTTTATAAGTTTCTTCATCTGTTTCACTTCCTGGTTCTTGCATATTAGCACTTTGTAATTGTACCAGAACCAGAGAGGGAAACAGAAAGTGAAGTCATCCAGTCTAGATAAGTGAAATGTAAGCTTTGACAGTGAAAAGCAAAATTAGATTAAGAATTTTTCTACTTTAATAATGTTATCAGCACCGCAGCAATGGAAATATTTAAAAAATAAATGATTTTCTTGACACTGTTCCTTGAAAAGGGAAAAATAGATAAACACTGATCTTTTACTCCTAAAAGATGGTAATAAACTTGCATGAAATAAAATATAGAAACTCTCATGTAAAATAACGTATGGACATTGAGAATGTCAGACAGGAACTGTACCTGATTTGCTAAGCTGGCTGATGTGCCATTACTGAGTAGAGAGAAAGTTTCCAATTCCTGCTGCAAGGAAGAGAGAGATTTCATGACACAGGGATTCCTTGAACTCCTGCAAATTAGGTAGTGACTGATTGGATCTTGTCAGCCACTGCTATCCAACGGTACACTTCCCTATCAGGCATTCTCTACAACCACAAACCATAGGGAGAGAAATCAGGACCACCTGCTTTTCCTTAGTATGCACCAATCATCCCCAAATTCATGTGATTGTACCTGAAGCCTGTTGCTTGCAGGATTATGAAAGAGCCCCAGATTCAGTCCAGCCATCCTGGTGCAAAATGCACATCGATGCAATATCCCAGTGTGAAGACACCCCTGTACAATGCTGCATCATGAGATGGTAAGTTTGAACCCCACCCCACGACAGACACATTCAGCCTTGTCATTTAAAAAATTAGTTGGGGAGTGCATTAAAGCACTGGAATGAAAAACAGAAGCTAGAGCAAGCTGCAGCAAAATGCTACTAAAAGGTTTCAATTAATCAAAAAAGGGAGTCTTGTGTTTTGCTTGCATAGACACAGTTTAGACTCATCTGTGGAGTAACGAGGTAGAGGGAAAAGTGCAGAGGGCCAATGGAGTGAGTAAGTATGAAAAGTATTTCAGGGAAAGTTTCCCGTCTCTCAAGATTCAATAATTACAACATTTTTAGAGCTCTAGCAAGTGGAGTATTTTCCTCTAATCCAACACCACTTGCAAAACACGCAGAGTTTACATTTATATAGCATCCGTTACCCAAAAGCACTTTACCAACTACTACAAATCACTTCACTTGGCACTGAAATGCAGCCACTTCTCAGCTGGAATGTGCCAGCTGTTTAACACTGCACAGCAAGGTTACACAAGAGTTAGAGACAGGAACTGAAGAAGAATGTTGCATCTAAATAAAACTGCAGAGAGGAATTTGAGGGACACAGAATATCAATCACTCAAGCTGGAGTTCAGCCAGGGCCTTGGGGCTAACATTCCTATTCTTGAGAAATGTGTCACAGGAGCGTCAGTGACCAGAAGTGGTTTTGCCTTATCTAAAGGACACTCCCCCATCAGTAGCTCAGCACCCCTTAGCACAACCCTGGGGCGTACGTTTCATACTGACAGACAGAAGAATGCTCCATTTTGAACCAGCACATCCATTTATTGCAGCACTAGGGTTTTCCTTAGAGCAGTGGTTCTCAAACTTCATTGCACTGTGACCCCCCTTCTGATAAAAAAATAAAAAAGTTACTACACGACCCCAGGAAGGGGGGACCGAAGCCTGAGCCTGCCCGACCCCTGCCACCCTGGGTAATCTAAGCCACACTGCCCAAGGCTGAAGCCCTCAGGCTTCGGCCCCTTGCCCCAGCAAGTCTAAGCCAGCCTGGCGACCCCATTAAAATGGGGTCACAACCCACTTTGGGGTCCCGACCCCCAGTTTGAGAACTGTTGCCTTAGAGCTATCCCCTCAGACAACGTCCAGGCTTCATTCTGCTTAGCTTGGGATATATGAGATTGCGCACCAAGCCAAGATGCTTATGGCTGCAAGCCAGAAATGCACCTGCAGGGGTGCTGCAGGCCAGGACTGAAGAATGACTGGCAGATCTGGGAGTGGGGGCATTCCCAGGAGTGGAATAGCAGGAGGTGCTGAAGGCTGTACCTATGGCAATGCAGCCGCTCAGAATCAGTAGCCTTTACAGAAACATATCAGTGGAATCCAAGGGACAGTCTAGAAAGAGTCATACCTGAGGCCTCTTATATGCTTTCCGAACCCTTAAACCCAGCTTCTGTGCGAGCTCCTGACCAAGCTGCGTAACGCTCTCATCCTAGAGAAAATGTAATTCAAGGACATTGTCATTTTAAAGCATGTGGTTTTATTTTACTGCACATACAATAACCAACCAGAAACAGACCACAAGTTATACAAACAGACCACAAGTTACAGCTACACAGACTGAATTACATGCTAGTATTCTTATTGGTATGCAAGACGAGAGGTAGCCAATTGCCCGACTCCATTCCAGGAGAGGCTGTGCAGATCTAAGACATCAGTCATTCAGCCCTGCAGAGATACAAAGCTGCGGAAATGGAGAGGCGATATCCTCTCTCCAACAAAGTATCGAGTCTCCAAATGCAGGGCTAGTGATCCTTATTGACACGAGGGCCCCACCTTCAACCCTGCTTGCTCCCTCCAATCCCAGGATCTGGGTGGGAACACTGGTTCCGAGACACCTTTGACCTTCCCCACCCTCTGCTGCACTGAGCTCTGCTAATGATTTAGCTCATCACGTCCAGTCTGTGCTCACTTTCTCAGTTCCTCTCTTTAAAAAAGTTTCCAATTTACACAACACAGACACTACTTCCTGGAACGACACAATCCACAACGTAAATTCAGCCAATCACTGCCCCTCTCTCCTGTTAAAGTCCACCCTATTAACCCACAGCACTAGGTCACTCCGAGCATCCACTCCTGCTCCCATGTTGCTCAACACCTTTGGAGGGTGGCCCATGACCACACTGCATCCCCCACCACAGTTTCATTCTCTCCTCCTTCAGCTCTGTCATCTCCCTGGCCAAACAAAAACAGGCTTCATTCCTCACTGAGTTCCACGAGCACAATCCCCAACACTTATTTTCACCCTCTGACTGCCTCCTTCAGCCTCCTGTTCCCCATCCTTTCTTCCCTCCTTGCAAAGTATTTGGTTAACTTTGTCACAGGGAAAAATCAACTAAATCCTCTATGATTCGCCCCCTGCCTCGTTCCCTTCAAACATCTTCTCCCTCATCACCAAACTTTGAAGTCTGCCGCCTTCTCTCCACCACTAACCCCTCCACCTGCCCCAGCGAGTCCACTGCTGCCTGGCTCTTTACCTACGTTGCCCCCATGCTCCTCCCCTGCCTCCCCCTCCTTCTCAACCTCTCCCTCACGATACTACTATGCCCTGTTTTTCCCTCTCTTTAGAGCACCATCCTTCAACCGGACCTATTTCTCCAACTACTGCCCTGTCGCCATCCTCACCGTCTCTGAACTCACTAAGCACAATCTAAAACCAACGTGTTTACTTCCTCTCCTCTAGCTCTGTCTTGGACCCCTTCCAATCTGGCCCCCACCTCTCCTCTCTACTGAAACTGCTCTCGCTAGTGTCTCCAACAACCTCTTCCTGGCCAAACCTCAGGGCCTCCAACTCTGTGCCGCTTTTGACACAGTCCATTTCCCTCCCCTTCTTGACATCTTATCCTCTCTGGGGTTTCGAGATACCACTGTCTCCTGGTTCTCCTTCTACCTCTCTGTCCATTCCCTCAGCTTCTCTTTCAGTAGGGCCACCTCCTCCCCTCTCCCACTCTTGGTGGGGGCTACCCAGGCCTCTGTCCATGGCCCAGAGACAGGATGTAAAGTGAGGACAGCACAGGGCCAGCTTGTCTGCTTACTGACCTGTTTTCTTCTGTCCAACTCCGCTTCCCAACCTGTCTGTGACATCTCCTCTTGGATGTCCCATCGTCAGTTAAATAGATGTGGTCAAAACTGAACTTCTCTCCCCTCCCAAACCTCCTCCACTTTCCCATCCTTATCTCTGTCAAACAGACCACCTGTCACTGTCACACACCCCTGTCATTGTCATTCAGGCCTGCAATTTGAGGGTTTCTTTTGTACCCTCCCACTCCGTTGCCACTAATACTCAAGGCATAGCCAAATCCTGCTACTGCTTCCTCCTTAACAGCTCCAAGAGCCATCCTTTGTTTTCCCATTTCCCACAGTAAAAACCTCCATTCAGGCCCTCATTACATCCCATCTTGACCACTGCCGCACACTCCTCTCTGATGTTCCAAACACATGCATTGCTCCCTTCAGTCCATACATAATACCGCTGCTAAAATCATCTCCTTTACTTATCAATCTGTTTAGTCTCTTCCCGCTTCAGATTCCTCTACCAGCTGCCCATAAGCTATTATAGCAAATTCAATCAGCAGGTCACCATCTTTAAGGCTCTAGGGGACTCTGCCCTGCCCCAATTATCCTCCCTTCTCAAACTCTGTTTCCCCTGTCAGTCTATCCCACAAATGCCTCCTGGGCCCCCTGTACATGGGCCCAGCTCCCTGACCTTAGCCACAAGGCCCCTACTCTGTCCACATTTAAGTCTCTCTTAAAGACCCACTTCTGCCATGCTGCCTACACTGAATCTAATGATTTATTTAAACAATTTAAAGAATACTCATACCAAATGCCCTAAAAATTCCTTAACATTACAACAACGCGGACCACACAGAAGCATTAAATACTATATAGCACCACAGTATTATTTACTATTATTTATATTTTAAGCTCTTTGGGGGATAGAACTTTTTTTGTCAAGTAGGTGCACAGGGCCTAGCACAATGGTGCCCTGATCCATGAGGCTACAGCGATACAAATAAAATCAATATCATCATCATCATAGTGGTAATGTATTAACCACACAAGCCAGCAGCAGGAAATAGCAGAACCAAGTACCAAATTAACTCAGTCAATCACTTGAAGTCTTTAGATAGTCTATAGCTCAAACAGGAGATACGGGATTGATGCAGGAATTCCTGGTGAAGCTCTCTGGCCTGGGTTATACAGGAGGCCAGACTAGATGGTTACAACGGTCCCTTTCTGGCCTTAAAATCTGGGACATCAAAGCAACATTACAGAATCCCAGAAATGTAGGGACTTTGAGAGGCCATCTAGTCCAGCCCCCTGCACTGAGACAGAACCAAGTAAACCTAGACCATCCCTGACAGCTGTTTGTCCAACCTGTTCTTAACAACCATCAGTGATAGGCTTCCAAGGGATGGAATCCCCATTCCAGAGCTTTACTATCCTTATAGTTAGGAAAAACTTTTTAATATCTAACCTAAATCTCCCTGGCTGCAGATTAAGCCCATTACTTCTTGTCCTACCTTCGGAGGACAATCAATCACAGTCCCCTTTATAACAGGCCTTAACATATCTGAGGAGTGTTATCAGGTCCCCCCTCAGTCTCCTTTTCTCACGACTAAACATGCCCTGTTGTTTTTTTAACCTTTTCTCATAGAAAACCTGACCTAAACCTTTTATCATTTTTGTTGATCTCCTTTGGACTTTCTCCAGTTTGTCCACATCTTCCCTAAAGTGTGGCACCCAGAACTGGACACAGTACTGCAGCTGAGGCCTCATCTGTGCCAAGCAGAGTGGAACAGTTATCTCCAGTGTCTTACATATAGCACTTCTGTTAATATACCCATATTAAAGCCCCTTTCACACACTGACACCTCTCACCCCCGAGAAACACTGGCCCCTGAGGACCTGAACTCGTCTCTTATTAGGTAAAACGACTGCTATTTATCACTTAAAACGTATGTATGGTGCTCTACTGAGACTCGAGGCATTAGGAATAGGGTATTAAGGGTATGCCTACACTAGAAACTTAAGTCGACCTACATTAGGTCGACTTGCACCACTGCAGTAATTACTGCACTGGCTGTATGTCCACACTACCCTCCTTGGGTTGGTGGCGCGCATCCTCACAATGAGCACTTCCACCGACTTAAGAGGGGCAGCGTGGAGAGATGAAAGCCCGGTCTCTCAGCTCCACTTGCAACTTCCTGCTCGGAGCCCAGCTGCCCCACAGGCTCCTGGACTCCAAGTGGGCCGACTGGGGTTTCTCGCCTCCCCGTTCCTGGACGGGACGAGAAGCCATCTGGGGCTTCTCGCCTCTGGGGAGTGGGATCCAGCTGTCCCGGCTTCTTGCCCCCCCCCCCAGGAGCCAGGAAGCCTTGTCAATTTCACAGCTACAGCTACAACAGGGAGCCATGAAATTGACAAGACTGCCAACATTTCCAGTCCAGAGATGAGCCGCTGCCTGGGCTTCTCCCCGGTTCCCAGCTGGGAGCAGGATCCATTCTTGCCCCTGCTCTCCTGCCATGAAGCTGACAAGACAGCCAGCAGCTGATGTAAGTAACACAGTGTCTTCACAGTCACTGTGGTGCCCTAACTACACCGACATAAGCTCTAAGCCTCTCGTGGAGGTGGAGTTATGATGTCAGTGTAGTAGGGCACTTACATTGACGGGAGCAAGGCTGTAGTGTAGACACTGACATAATTAGGCCAACATAAGCTGTTCTATGTCAATGTAAACTGTGTAGTGTAGACCAGGCATGGGTCTCTCTCTCTCTTCCACGTCTCCAGTTCCCATCTGTCCTGGACTGGTAGTGACTGACAGTCATTCCCACCCGATAGCTGTTCCAACATGGACACGAAGTGAGTTGATGATCTCAGCTCAGTTCCAACTGGGACAGGCTTTCACATCACAAAGCCATCTCAACTGGAACGAGGCGGCCCTTTTGTTGGCAGCCTCAGCAGAGATGATTTGGGCTGACAAGGACATGGAATCAGAACTCCCCAAGAGATGAGATTACTGGGAACGGGTGTATCATATAGAACAGCCAGCTTCTCTCTTCCACTACCATCACCATTCACACCGCACTGGATTGCGGGAAAGGAAAGACGGAAAAGTGCCTCAGAGGTTGGGGTAGACACGCATGTCACACACTTACATGTGGGAGGGACAGCAGGCAGCGGCTATTACATTCATACGCCTCCTTGTGCCTCCCCAGCTCATTTAAGGAGCGGGCTTTGCGGAAGAGGGCACGGATGTTCTCCTTGTCAAGCATCAAAGCCTTCTCACTGTCTTCCAATGCCTTCTCGTACAAGCCCTGCATGAGAGGAAAGAGACCACCTGAGCAGGCAATGGTGTGTCACACACTGGAATCCACCTCCTCTCCCCGCCTGAAAGTTCTGCCCAACCATTTACTGCAGTTCATTGGGAACATGTCATCAAAACCCATGAATATAAAAGCAATTGGAGATTAGATACAATTACACACAACACACCAAACTGCATTAAAAGATTATAAAGGTTGCAGAGTCAAGCACTCAAAAGTTAGGAAATGCCAGAATTAAGGGTATCTGTGTGATCTTAATTCAGCCCCTTCTGTGTATACAGTAGTCTTTCGTGATCCCATACTACTTTTTCCACAGGACCCCTGCACCATTCAGTGCACAGGATGGCCCTGCTCTAGGAATGAACAAGGGTTGTGTAGTGAAGGGGCCTATTGTATGTAGGACTCCTGCCCCATGTGTTGGGGGAGTTGGAAAGTGTGTAGTAAGAGGCCAGCAATCGAAGGAAGGGAAAGGATGGTCTCATGGTTAAGACAGGTGAAAGCTGCCCTAGAGAATGGGATTCTAGCCCTGCCTCTGCCACTGAGTTCCTATGTGATGCTGGGCAACTCACTTAAACCAGACTTTTTACAGGTCGTCACTACTTATGTGTTCCTCATTTTCTTGGTGCCTGAGACCCTGGGGTCCATTTTGGAGAAGTGCTGAGCTGCAACTGAACACAATGGGAGCCCTGATCTGAACATTAAAAGTGCTATGTAATGCTGAGTACTCTGAAAAAAATCCAATCCTAGGCATCTCAAATTAGGCACCCAAAATTAGTAGAACTTTTTATTTTAATCATTGTGCCTCAGTTCCCCATCTGTAAAACTGAGATAACCCCACTCCACCCATCTTACAGGGGTGTGTTGTGAGAATAAATTCATTAATGGTTGTGAAGCACTCAGATACTGTACTTATGAGTGCCATAGAATAGCCTATGAGGAAATTAACAACTCTGTCTTCAGAGCAGAGTTTGACTAGTGTACATTAAAATAAGGCCTGGGGCCATACTCTGACCAATGAGCAGAAAACAAAATATTGACTAGCCGCTCATTCAGTAAGCACTGCCTGTTCTGTGCACCATACACACTGAATGAGGCAGGAGTTGTGTGGAAAAAAATAGTATGCAAACATGTAACTAGAGACTGCTTCATAATGCCAGGCACAAGGGGGCCAAATTAAGATCACACAAGCAACCATAAGTCAGGCATTTCTTAACTTTTGAATGCTTGACTTTACCACCTAATAATGTTTTTTTAACATGTGTGTGTGTGTAATTTCCTAGGTTTAAAAAAGGCAAATCAAATACCATCATGTGGCATCATACTGATAAATTTTTAACAGTGAGAGTAATTAACCTCTGGAACAATTTACCAAGGATCATGGATTCTCCATCACTGACCATTTTTAAAACATGATTTGATTTTTTTTCAAAGATATGCTCTAGTTCAAATAGAGTTACTTTGGGGGATTTTTATGGCCTATGTTATTCAGGAGGTCAGACTGGATGATCACAGTGGATCCTTCTGAGCTTGTCATCTAAGGGTCATCAGCAGAGTTGGAACCTTTAGATTTATCACACAGACCTCTGCCACTTGAGCTAGTGGAGTAACTGATAGCAGAAGTAGGTTGTCATCCTCTTTGTGTACCAGCACTACAGGGAGATGAGACACTGTCAGTGGATTTCACAGATATTTGCTGACAGCAGAGGAATGCTGAGACTCAGGAATCCTACGTTCCATTTCAGGCTCTGGAGGTGAGTATTATCTAGCAAGCACAGACTTTTCCACCTACTTCCTCCAAGCTTAACCCCTTCTGCCCCTGGCCCCTCCAGCCCACACCTGGCCCAGTCCTGTCTCTTTCTCACCCCTGGTTCCTCATCCCAGTCCCATTCTCCGCATACCTAGCCAGTCCCAGTCTTCACTCCTCATGCTTCTCATCCCAACCTCCTTGCCCAGCCAGTCCTAGTCTCTCCCACCAGACTCCTTGTCTCAGTGCCCCCAACTTCCAATCTCCCCCCACCCCTGCTCAACCAATCCCAGAGCCCCCCCAGATCACTGTCCCTAGTCTCCTTGCTGAAAGAGTCTTAGTTCCCCCTCCAAGCTCCTCATCCGGTCTCTCCCACATGCTAGCCTCCAGTCATCCCCACCCATGTTCCAGTCTCCCACCCCAAGTTCCTAGGCTAATCACAGCATCATCCCCCACAAGCTTCTCGTTCCAGTCTCTTTACTCAGCCAATCTCCGTTCTCCCATTGCACTTCGGCTCCTTGTCAGATCCGTCTCCTCTCCCCACACAGCTACTTCCCCCTCAACCCACTAGTTCACGGTTCCGGTCTACTTGCACAGCCAGTACTAGTCTCCCTCTACCCCAATTTCCAGTCCCAGTTTCCTTCTCCCACCTCACCTGCCTGCAGTCCCAGTCTCCCTCCCATCAGACTCCTTGTCCCAATCTACTCTCCCTTCCCCACCCCAGGTCGGGCTGTTGTCCCCTCTGTATTTGACTCAGTCAGCTTCTTCCACACTGCATGGGCCCAGCAAAGGGGGTTCACTGTTAGCACAGGAGAGACAGGCCCCTTGCTCCAGTGCCTGGCTCCAGACTAGCTCATAGCATCAAGGAGCAGTAACTACAGGTAAAATCCTGCTCAGCCCCCCCAGAACCTTTGGGAATTTTGTTACAAAGTTTTAGCATGTCTCAGTTGGGTATGTGCAAACTTAGAATTTTTCAAAGGCTTAAAACTGGACCAGATTTTCCTAGGGATGGCAAAAGACACCTCCCTGTCACAAAGGCCATCTCGCTGCCAAATTTAAGTCCCCGCTCCAAAGCACAAGGGAGCAAGAGCATCTTAAAGAAAAGCTTATCAGAAATTTTGAACATGGGCAAAACATAATTTTTCCCCTCGCCTTGTTCTCGAAAACAGCTGAACCGTTTCAGCTGAAGTTTTCCCAAAACATTCAGCCAAAGGCAGACACCCAGTGTGGAAAATTTCAGCTTGAACAGTTAGTCTGGCAAAGTTATAAGCAACTTGAAACAGGATCTTATAATGGGATGGAAGCAACCTTAATAAGAGAGGGTGCCTACCAGTCCCACACCTATAACAACTTTGAAATGGGCATCTGAAGGGAAGAAATCCTACTGGTTGACTGAAGCCTCTACTGCAAGAGTATCTGGTATGACCACATTGGGATCCTGGAAGGGTAATGTTTAAAACCAGTTAGACAGGAATATAGAATATACTACCATACCAGATCACAGCACTGATCCATCTAGTACAATATCCTGCCATACCAGTTCAAATAAATCAATAGTCCACCCAATCCAGCATCCTTTCGCTTACCATACCAGCTTTGACCACTGGTCTATTTAGTTCAAGATCTTATCTCCAGCAATGGTTGATACTTCAGAAGAAGGTGACCCTGTAGCCAGAGGGTAAGAAGAGAAAATTTCCCCACAACTGCCTCCATTTTTCATCTTCTCTCCAGAGACAATGCAGCTAATAACCCTTCTCTTGACATGTAATGTTTTATTAAATCTGTCTTTAGGAGAAGGAGTTATAATGGATGTCAGCAATTTAACTAGGAGCGGATCGGGGGCTCATGGCATACTTTGCTGAGAGACTTATGAAGTTAGGGCTAGTAGAAATTTTTTCATCTGATTTGGGATGGAGGGGGGGGGGGTGTTGACAGAAAATTAGGTTTTCACTAAACAAAACTTTTGCAAAGTGTCCTATTTCCACAGAAAACTCTAATGTTTCCCATTGAAAAATTGAACATTTGAAAACCAAAATATTTATTTGTTTTTCATATAAAAAATGAAATATTTTAGTTCTGAAATGTCTCATGGAAGAGGTGGTTTGGGTACCACATTCTCCTATACTCCTCTCTGGGTTGAGTTCCCAGCCAGACTTCACCTTTCATGACTCATTGTGATCATGACACTACCATGATGCACCACCTCCACTTACCAAGAGGGGAGACTGAGGTGTATCATGGGAGATGTAGTCTGACCAGGGAACCTGGTGTATAGAGAATGAGGCCCTTGAACTACAGCTCCCATGAGGAACTACTGCAGCATTTCAGAATCAACATATTTCAGTTTTTGGTTGAAATATTTCAAATTCAAATTTTTCTATGGAAACCCCCCCACCCACCATGTTCATACCAGATCTAGATTAAATGTATTTTCCTCAAGCACAGGAGAAAGAATAATTTACAGAGCAATGCTCCCAAGATTGCATCATCATCATGAAATACTTGAAGGAACTGGCCCTTTATAGCTCAGAACTCCACAGCACCTCAACCTCTCCCCCAGCACTGTGATCTATATTAGTGCACTCTCAAGGCCTGTAAGGGCACCTCCTCATGTATTCTGTCTTTATCTTGTGACACCAATGTAATAATGAGAAGAGTTCCGAGTTTTCTGCATTCCTCCTCCCATGCTGGAGGCAGGAAGAGTGGACGGGATCAGTCCAAACCCCCATCCTATGCATGGCCATCTATTGGGTCTCCTCACTTCCTGAGGTTTTTTGTCCAGTTCTTGGGAATGGCTCCGGTAGGTGCTCACCATGGCAAAGTAGCAAGCAGCCCGGTTGACGTGCAGCTTACATAGGAGCTCCACTGGGATGGTCACCTCGTCCGAGGCCGCATAGTCCGCCACGTTCAGCCCTTCTACGTACTGCACCAGTGCCAGCTTGAAGTCCTTCTCCCGGAACAGGTCATTCCCCTCTGCAAAAAGGTTCCGCACCAGCTTCTGTAAAAAGGCCTGGGTGGAGAGAGAATATAAACAGAGTGGAGTAGAAATTCATAGATTCCGTGGCCAGAACAGGTCATTGTGATCATCTAGTCTGACCTCCTGTACAACATGCCCAGAAACTGAGAGGGGTTTCCCCAACCCCCCATTCACCTTCACGTGTTTCCTCAAGTCAAGTCCTCCTGTCAAGAAATTAATTCCCCATCCTCAAATTCCAACTGTCACCTAGCGGGGAGGCTAATTCAACCAAATCTCCTTCCCTCCTAAGGCTAAGTGCCGTCACCCAAATTCCCCCTCTCTTAGAAGTTAATTCCTCCCAGTATTCTCCCCCTTAAAGATCTTCCACTATAGACAAATGGCACTAGACCACTCCCACACATAACTAGCCCCTCTTGGCTCTCAAACGCAAGGACATTAATTTATAACATCTGTGCAAGAGGGCAACATGTATTGACCGAAAGCCACCATTATGTGGTTTCAAACGCCTTCAGAAAAACAAATCTTAAATTACCTCATAATCTTCTTGGCTTAGGGGTAACGTGGACCTGAGGAGAGAAGAGGAAGGTTTCATGAAACATGGATCTGTGCAAGCACATGCATCTCCCTCAACTAAAGAGGCAGTCTTTCTGACTCTGCGTTATGGATCTCATTACGCATTTACTCCACATTTACTATCGATTACTTGTATTGCTGTTATGCCAAGAAGGCCAGTTAGAGATCAGTGCACCACCGAGCTAGGCACCGGACACACACAACAAGAGATGGTCACTGCTCCAAAGAGTTTACAATCTGACTAATTTAGGAGACTGCATTTTCATGGCTATTCCCTATGCAAACCAGCTGCTCTGGGGGCTGCATTCAGACAGCCAGGTTTCAATCTGTGATCAGAACAGATATTGTCATGATAAAATGTTTTTATAAAACAACATCAATTTTTAAGAGAATTTGGCACCAGTGAAAGATGTTGGATCGGTAGTCTCAGAACGCTGAATTCCTCTGTTTAGCAACAGAACAAGTAAGGCCAGAGCACAGCAAGCTTCTTCCACGCTTCCCCCTGACAAAGGGTCTAAACCAAAGGTTCTCAGGACAAAATATTTGGTGGCCTCAGAGTGTGGCCACGAACTCTTGGTGGTGGCCACTCTCACACTTTTTCCTAAAATACTTAATTAGCTTTAGGAAAACCAAATAAATATGCACATATACACATCCAAATCATTGTAATTTATTTATTGCTAGCTAGTAAGTCTGTTGTGAAAAGTGATATTAACACACATACAAGTATCACTTTTCACAGCAGCCCTGGCAAGCCAGAGACTGATTAATCCCTGGATGGGGGGCCAAGGGAGGCAGCGGGGGGCTAGAGCCTGAAGCCCAGCCACCGGAGTCTGGGGCCTGCTGCTGCACAGCTGGAGCCCGGAACTGGAACCTTAAGCCCCTCACCCACCCCACCGCCCCAGGGCTGAACCCCAAAGCCTGAGCTCCACCACCCCTGGGAAGGTGGAGAACTGCTCCTCCAGCGTTTTGTCCCAGGTATCTCCAAAGGGGGACAGGGCCCAACCCCTGCTGGCGGCCCCACCAACCAACACCAAGGCAGGGCATCCAGGAGCAACAGGGTGGGGGAGTGGCTGCTACTTTGCCTCCCCCCCACCTCACCCCCACACCAAGCCCAGGAGGCTGTGGCCACAAGAAAAGTTCCTGGTGGGAACTCTGATCTAAACACTCCCCTGAGGTGAGCACCTCACAGGAGCTCTGGCTCCATAGGCCATCAATCCTTGCCTTTTCTGCAGAGACCACCAGCCAGGGGGCCAGTAGTGCTGGGTGGCTAATGTGGTGAGAACATGTCCCACAACAGGACTGAGTTTACGCCATTTCATACAGACCAAACAGCAATCTGACAGTAAGGACTTTTGGTCACTCTCAAGATGGGACCAGACTAGAACAAGTGACTCAGAGGTGAAAGACTCCATATCCCAAACCCAATCCTTAGATCATCCAGTCACCTTCAATAAAAAGTGTCTTTTGTTTAACCATGTTCCCTCCCCTTGATCAACGCAACAAAGCCCAGATCCACAGTGTTTCTTTTCTTCAGGGAAGAGAATGCCAAGCCCCCCACAAAGCCCTTAATTTCCCCCATACCTTTCTAACCCCTGTCCACCCTTGGAACACTACATCATAATCATCTCATTAGCCAGATACACTGGACTCTCTTCTAGAGCTCATCAGTTATTGTGCCTTAAAATTAGCCAGAAGAATTTTCATGGACTTCATGAGTAAAGTGTGTGGGGGCGGGGGAATCATCAGGCCACTAAAATTTGAAAGCCCCTCCTCCGCAGTGATCCCTCGAACCAAGCCATTAAATGAAACTTACACTGCTCCAAGATTCAGGAATACTACTTCACATTTCTACAGCACTTTCCAGACGAGGATCTCAAGGCACTTTAGAAATATGAACAAATTAAGCCTCACAACTTCCCCTGTGAAGCAGGTAAGCATCATTAGCCCCACATACTGAGTCTGGCAGAACTAGGGCCAAACTAGCACTGTAAGGCCAAGGCACCAGCGACGGTTTTAAAGTCCTATATCTCACAAATTGATCCATCGGAAGTACAAATACATATTACGTGCTATTGGAGAACTAGCCCGCTCAGCTTTCCATTACACCAACACAATTCTCATTACCACCTTGCTTCTCTCTTACACACACTGGAATTTTGACCTGAGTTTACAGCATTTGCTAACTCAACTGTTGGAGAAAGAATACAAAGCTGTATTCCATGTAAAAGCAACTAAGACTCCTAGCTTCCAAACACTGAACAAACTTTCATCTCAAACTCTAGCAGTCCATGGACAGTCACATAAGGATGGTCTGGAAATTAAATCCCAGGACTGGCAGTTAAGGGATCAGAATTCTTTTTCTGACATTTGGCACCTCTTGTGCCTTCGTTTCCTCATATCTCAAATGGAGATACTACTACTTACTTATCTCACTGAAGTAGTGAAAGGCTTAAATTATCAATGCTTGACCAATGCTTTGCAATCCTCAGAAGGAAGGCTTTGAAGAAGTGCAGAGTGTTACTATTATTACTACTATTGCTACACTGGCTATTAAGATCACATTGGAATGGAAGTAGTGGGCAAAACCAAGATGGGAATTGGAATGACGCGATTTTAAGTTTGGATCTCTTGCAGGACTAGCAACACTTGGAAGGATCAGGATAAATGCTCTCTGGACCTTTCCGAGCATCAGCCCTGGACTAGTGAACAGAATGAAAAGAAAATGTTATTTCTCCTTATACCATATGTTGTAAGGACTATCTCCAAAGTCCAAAGAAAATAGCAGTGAACCTGCTGACTTACTGAATGAATTGAAGTCCCTTCTCTATTTCCTCTTTCCTTTTCTGTCTCTCCATTATAGCGTCTGCAGAGAGAAAAAGACAAAGCCAGTTATTACAGATCTTAGTGTCAAAGTAGCAGTGCAGTATTTAAGTGAATCTAGCACTAGCAAAATGTTCCAGACTGACTGCCTTAGACACCAAAATATTTTATTTACCTACAGCGTGGGAGGCAGCAGCAATGCAAACTCGCCACCCATGCATCTCCCCCCTCCCTATATGCCACAATGTTGATTTGCAGGAGACCACCCAATGGGGTGAAAAGGAATTCATTCCCACTGGTCCATTCAGTCCAATCTCTCTGCTTAGATTGCCAACAAGAGTAGCATGTTGTCTGTGCACGCAATACATGCATGGCATTCCCCAGGACCAGCCATGCCTGCAGGAGGATTCCATCCAGCCCCCAAATGCACATGGAGGATGCCATTTTGAAGAACAAAATGGCATCTTCTGCACAGCATGACCTTGCATGCACCGTACGTGCGAGGTCACGCCACATCAAGGATACAATTTTGCATGCAAGTGTAGAAGTGCCTGCCTGACTAAAAATGTCACGGTATGCCATTGGCCAGCAAGGAAGTCAATTAGTGAAAATGGTGATGGCAGTTGTTCACTAGAAAATTAACTCAGACTTTCCCCCCACTAACTAATTTAATGCAGGCTACCAAGCCACCATCAGATGATAAGCAACTTTGATCACTACTTATCTGGGTTAGATTTTAACCTGGTTTAAGATGCGGGGTTCAGATACCATGGGGATATAGGTAAACTGCCTACAGTATTTGAGAGATGTAAGCACCATGGCAGCTGAGGAATTGATTTGTGTGTTACAAATAAAAGTACAAGGATGAAACTGGGCAAAGAGAATTTCAGGCTGACTATTGGAAAATGTTTCCTAGCGGGGACACCTGTTATACTATGGAATATTCTCCTAAGGAAAGTGGTGAAAGCCCCATCATTTAACATGGAATGGACAGAGCCTAGGGGAAGCCAATGTAGAGAACAATCCTGCATTGACCAAGGATGGAAAAAGACCAGATCCATTCTCTTTCACCTATTTTCCATGACTCTATGAATGCAAACAAGTTAACCATACAAAGGGGCCAATATTCCCCCTACCTTAGATTTATGAAGAGTGAGACTTAGGGCTGGTCCACACTGGGGCGGGGGATCGATATAGGAAACGCAACTTCAGCTACGAGAATAGCGTAGCTGAAGTCGACGTTTCCTATATCGAACTAAAAGTACTTACTTCGGGTCCACGCGGCGCAGGCAGGCTCCCCCGTCGACAGCGCTTCCTCCTCTTGGCGAGCAGGAGTTCCGCAGTCGACGGGGAAGCGCTTCTGGGATCGATCTATCGCGTCCAGATGAGACGCGATAAATCGATCCCAGAAGATCGATCTCTACCCGCCGAATTAGGCGGGTAGTGTGGACCAGCCCTTAGAAGGCCCTGTTCTCAACTGAAATGGGTTAGATTCAAACAGTTACATTTGCATTGTCCATCTGCTGCAGCTTTGGTGCAAAACCAGGAATAGCCTACTCGCCACACCTGCACTGCTATCTTAGCAAGAGCATAGGAGTAGCAGAGAGAGATAGGAGGCACCCTGGAATTCTGTGCCAGGAAAGATCTGTTGAAGCCCACAGATCCACACTGACATAGAGAAGCCATGTTCATGAAAAGTGTTCGACCTGGTGCGCGGGGGGAGGGGAAGAGGAAGATAAACAGAGTGAGATTAGAAACAGGGAAGTGAGGTGGAATTCAAGCCACCACGTTCTTCAAGGCATGATTTATACTCCCAGTCTAGGGTTGCCACTGAAAAGGTTATGGGGGGGGGGTGTCACCCCTCCAAGTCCACATCAAAACTTCCAAGAGATATGGTCTACTTCTTATTTACATTAAAGGCCATTTCCACCCATTTTAAGTACTGTATTCTTTATTTTAAAACCAGAACAGGTTGAAGGAGCCTTACAGTAAATGAGAATTAAACCCTTGATGTCTAAGCAAGAAATGGCAGCAGAATCTAACCATTACCATTTATCGAAGCCCCTCACCATGCTCTGCATTGTACATAGAGAAACACAGAGAAAGGCATGGCCCCTACTCCAAGGAGTCTTTCCTTGGAAGACTGGATAGACACTAGTGCTCAGATATGTAACACACCAGGGATCAGAGGGTAAAGTGGGGCAGATAGAATCCTCAAAGAGATTTAAACTCTTTACTAGGACCTGTGGAAGAAGGTCAGCTTTATAAGGGATCTGGATGAGGAGGGAGAATATGCCTGATGCAAATGAGGTGACTGTTCCAGGGGAAAGTGGAAGGCGGTATGAAAGCTAGAGCTGGAGATGGCTACAAAGGGAGCAGTGAAACAGGAAGCTTGAGCAAAACAAAAGGAGCCAGAGGGAGAGTAAGAAGAAATGCAGGCAGGTGCCAAGCTGGGCAGGGCCTTGAAGGTGAGGTTGGGAAGCAGGTATCAACAACCTGGGTGTAGGGCAAGAGAGAGAGGAGATAAATGTAACAATGAAATTGTAAGGCTGGGATGATCAACCATGATAGAGAAGGGAAGGCTTGGAGAGGGGAGGATACGGACTTGAGTTTTGGCCAAAGAGTTTCGTTTGTTGTCAGGAAGAGGTAGATTTAGGAATGATCCACATAGTTGAAGTGATGAGAAAGAATAAGGTCACCCAAGGAGGAAGTAAAGAAGGAGACAAAGACCCCTAGCCAAAGAACCTTCAGGGACATGACAAAGAGAGGGAGAGGAAGTGGAGAAGCTACCACCAGAGACACTGAAGCAGCAACAAGAAAGGCTAGAAAGGCAAGAGAACACAGAATCACAAAAATCCAGAGAGGAGAGAATGTAGAGAAAGAGGGAGTTATTGGCCATATCAGATAGAACAGGGGTGGGCAAACTACGGCCCGGGGGCCGCATCCAGCCCTTCAGACATTTTAATCCGTCTCTCAAGCTCCCGCCGGGGAGCAGGGTCCAGGGCTTGTCCTACTCTGGCGCTCCAGCTGGGGAGCGGGGTCAGGGGCTTGCCTCGCTCTGCATGTGCCATGGCGCCACGTGGCTCCCGGAAGCAGCAGCATGTCCTCTCTCTGGCTCCTAGGCGTAGGCGCAGCCAGGGGGCTCTGCACGCTGCCCCTGCCCCAAGCACCGCCCCTGCAGCTCCCATTGGCCTGGAACCGCGGCCAATGGGAGCTGCAGGGGCGGCACCTGCGGACGGGGCAGTGCGCAGAGCTGCTTGCCTGCCCCTCTTCGTAGGAGCTGGAGGGGAACATGCCACTGCTTCTGGGAGCTCCTTGCGGGAAGCATCACCCGGAGCCTGCACCCCTGACCCCCTCCTGTGCCCCAACCCCCCGCCCCAGGCCTGATCCCCCTCCCGCACTCTGAACCCCTCAGTCCCAGCCCAGAGCACCCTCCTGCACCCCCAACCCCACCCCAGAGCCCGCACCCCCAGTCAGACCCTCCTCCCTGAACCCCAACCCCCTGCCCAGCCCGGAGCCCCCTCCTGTACCCTGAACTCCTCATTTTTGGCCCTACCCCAGAGCCCACTCCCCCAGCTGGAGCCCTCACCCCCTCCTGTACCCCAACCCCCAATTTCATGAGCATTCATGGCCCGCCATACAATTTCCATACCCAGATGTGGCCCTCAGGCCAAAGAGTTTGTTCTATCTCAGGGGTGGGCAAAGGATATGAAAATAAAGCAGTTGCCCATACACTTGGCCCACTGGGGACCATGGTGAGAGCAATCAAACATTGGCAGGTCATTGCAAAGCTAGCGGCAACAAGCCAAAAAAATGCTGTAGCAGCGCTTTGAACTCCTGTTTACCCACACACCAAGTACAGAATGAGCAGCAGCTATGAAAGTTTCCTGTACACATCACCTAACCCAACCTCTGCCACTTGCATCAACCCTATTCTCAAGGGACCAGTAGGAGGAGTTGGCGGGGGAAGAGGAGTTCAGCCTCCATTCTATTACATCCTTAGCCTTCCTGCTCAGACACCCCACGAAGTGACCAAATGGGGGATGGACAAAGGTTACAACAAGAACTGGACTAGGACTCCTGACCTATTTTACTCTGAGAATGACTTTCAGTCACTACTAGGGCTGCAGGATTGTTACGGTGGTGACAATGTGACGGACACTGTGCCTTTTCAGATGGGAGTGAGGGGGCATTGACAACACACAGCAGCATCCTCTGTCCCGGCACAGCAACCCTAATCCTGGCCAGGTCCCGGGCACAGGGGCTGCAGAGCCAGCTTGCCCCACACTCACTCTGAAGCAGCAGCTCCTGTCCCACAGGGCTGGGTCTGGTTCCCTGCTCCAGGGTGTTGCAACCAGGGAAACAGAGCCACAGTGCCGCTCAGGTTTGGTCTGGCCGTCGCTCTGTCATGATTCATACCCGTGACTTTACATGCCATTTCCCCTTAAGCCCATGATTTTTACTAAATTTACTATGACTGCTCTGTGATTTTTGATAAAAAATGCCACAACAAATCTGCACCCCATGTCATTACTGACCAGAGGCCTGGTTGGAGCCACTGACTTTGCAGGGCAAAGGCTCCATAACTCTTCTCTGATCCCCCAGACTCACTCAGCTCCCCTTGGAGCTCATTTCAGATTTTCACCACCCCGGCTTCCCCCACACCCATCTAACCTGCCACACCCCACATGACTCCCCTCCAGAGCTCCTCACTTTGATGACTCACCAGCCTAATCTATCCCTGCTGTGACTCTCCTACCTGACCACTGATCCCTACTGCATAACCCCACATAAAAGACTACTATCTCCTGCTGAATCCTGCAAACTGTCTCCTCTGCACCATCCTCTGTACCTGAGAGGTGCTCTTACCTCTCTGTACTGCAGGCATATCCAGCCCTTTCATTGGCCTTTCTGTGCTCTACATGCCTAATTGTACCCCTCCCATCCCACATGATTAACCAACCTCCTCTACTGCTGACCCTGATGACTTTCCTTTGCTGTTGAGCCCACCCACACCTTTTCATGCACCTCCATCCCTGCTTTATATAACCCCACATACAAGAACAGTCCTCCTGTGGCCCACCATCCTGCAATACTACCCACTCCGTTACATCTCTCAGACATGCCATCTCCTTCCATTATCTTTCACTGAACAAGGATCACCATCATTTTCCACTTTGCTCCACTCCATGAAGCTGACCACTCCCCCATTCTCCCTCCATAATGACTGTCACCTGCCTGCCTGACCACTCCCCTATTCCCACATTTGACTACACCCCCAACCCCTTCTGCCACTCCTCACTCTGCAAATCTGACCACTTCTCCATCTCCCGCTGTCATTACTTACTCTGTGAGCCTGACTATTCCCCAATCCCCCCTGCCATGTCCCATCCTATGCCTCACAAACTTCAAACCGGCTAATGTGGAACACCAGCAATCCAAATGCATGACAAACAAGCAATATGTGAAGCACCTGGATTTTGTGGCATGTCATACCATAACTGACAGATAACTGTTTTTAATTATAAAACCTGTTTTAAAGGATGTGTTCACACAATCTTAATTAAATAAGTTAGTTTTGTTTTTTTAAAGAAAAACGGAAAACCATGCTATACCACGTGCAACAACACAATATTCCCTCTGACTGAATCAGCAGCAAGGTTTAAACCCTGGGCCTTCACATCCCCTGCACAGACCTCTACCACTTGAGGCACAGAAGTTAACTGTTTCCATCTGTGTGGATTAACCACTAGAGGGGGACTTTGTAACTCCTTGGCAAAATGTGTGTAAACTATTTACTAGACAGCAGCAAAACACTGGCAACCACACATCCTAAATTCTGTCCCTGGCTCTGGGAGAGAAATGTGGTCTAGTGGTTAGACAGGGTAACCCAAGCACACAGATTTCGCACATTCAGTCTGAAAGACAGTATGACTCAGTGGAAAAGACTTGAGTCTGCCATATTAGAGATCTGGTTTTTATTCCCAATTCTGTCTGTGCAAAGTTTCTGTGAATTTATTTGAAAAATGGGGATTGAGAAGGCTAATACTTGACTGTTTTCCAGGGTTTGGTTACAACGCTTTGGTCAGTATTATGAGCTATAAATGCATTAAAATATAAATGGCAATCAGTAGAGGGGAGATCAGAACTCATGGTTTTCTCACTCCTAGCTTTCAGTAGGCACAGAGTATTTAGATAAGGAGTCGCTAACCTGCAGAACTGTACCAGATTTGGTGCAGCAAAACAGACACCCTAATTCGGCTCAAATGCGGAAGATTCTGCATAATCCAGTACACCAAAGAGCTCTGCCCAATTCTGCACATTTGATTGTCCTCCGCTCCATGTGCTTGAACTCTTCCCCAGTCCTTCTCCACCCTGGCCCATGCCTGACAACTCCCCATGTCCACCCTGTAAGCCTGACCGCCTCATCCCATGCCCCACTCTCCATGTCGGACTAACCCCCATCCCCTCTAACATGCCCCATCCCATATGCCTGGCCACCCTCTCTCACCCTACCACCCCTCCATCCCCTTTCCCGCCATGCCCATCAGAAAAGCTGCAAGCCACCGAGGTCATCATTACCACCTGAGTGCGCCCTCCTCCCATATTTAAAAGCACACACAATAATGCCATTTAGACACACTGCTGGACAGGCAGCCAGTGCACCAAGCCACCCCCTGCTCAGGCCTTGCCCCACTTTATAGCAGGCTCCCACCTGCACTGAGTGATGTTTCCCCCAGTCGGTGGGTCCGTACATCTCCTGAGGGGGGGGCATTTCAATGCAATAGGCACCCAAAGGGGCAGGGTTTCCCCCCCACCCCCCAGCCATTCCTTTGTATTACAGGCGCTGCAGCCCTTCTCCCCGCTCCTCGGGGCGGTGTCACTCCCCTGCCCCACTGAGGGCCCTAGCAGCAAAATAGCCTGGTTTGATCTCCCAGGAACAAAGTCATCGCCTCTCCCCTCCCCCACCAGCCGTAGGCCGCCGATCCCCGGGCTCGCTTGGCAGAAGCAACGGGCGGCAGGAGCATCTCGGCTGGGGACATGCGCTAATGCAGCGCCGCCTTCCTTTGGCAGCTACAAACGTCTCCCGTCTAGTCTTCCAGGCATTGATCACCCCAAAGTCAGCTCTCCCTATTGCTGGGAGGTTTCTCCCATCGCCAATATCGCCCAGCTCCCCCACCCACTTAAAAAACAACTCCCAGAAAATTTCAACAACAAAAAATCACCTATTTCCAAGAGTTTTGGGAGACAACTTAACCCCCCCTTTTTTAAAACCAACCGTCCACCCAGAAACCATAAAAAGGATCAAAGAATAAAAACAACTTTTCTTATTTGATGAACTTTCCAGCCCCTGAGAAATGTACATCTGAAAAGCTATTTCACAAGCATTTCTTTGCTGTTTCATGGGGCTTATACCCACAAGAGGGAAAACTGCAGGCAAAACACAGAGAAGGATAAAGCTTTGCAATCTTAAAACCACACCAACATAAAACCAATTACTATCCAGTGTTCACATCAACCCTACGGGCTTTTTTAGCTCGCTAGTAACTTTTAAACTTCACTTGCATTTTTTTTTTTCAAAGGAGGGGATTAGGATCTTTAACAATTATTTCCTGCAAGCCCCACATTTTTTGGTGGGAGGTGGCCTCGAAAATAAATCATTTTCTCAACTTGTTTTTTGCTACTGCAAAACATGTCCTCTATTTAATTACTATTAGGAAGGGGGGGATTTTGCTAGTGTAAACAATATTTAGCTTTTCTTCCTGTTTCTCAGACCTGTCCCTTTTATGTCTAGAGTTAGAGAAAAAAATCCAAAAATATAATAAAGGACTCACCTCTGCTTGGGTTTTCCCCCACTCACACTATGTATAACTTTCCTTGATAAATGGTATTATATTACTAGAGATATTATTAGAGTATTATTACAATTAGTAATAATAATAGTAAATGCTATTTAATTACAGAAGGAAGCATTCTGCTTCCGGATCTGCTGCCCCTGCAGCTCCCTCCATGTGCCTCCTGGTCTCTTTACTTTCATTTCCAGGTCTCTCTCTCTCCCTCCCTCAGCAGTAACAGCAGCTTCCCTGAGCTTCTTCTAGGTCCTAGTGGTAACCGGGTTCGTCTAAATAGACCCTTCCCTCATGGCGTTGGAAATCGGTTATTTGATTTTTACCAAGACAACTTTCTTGCTACCGCAAATGATCGCAGTGTTTGTTACGGTTGATATTATTTTGATCACCGATTTCAATAGTTTTTACTGCTCTTTTTAGTAAATACATGTACAATAACATAGGCCTGGAATCTTTGCATACACACTTGAGTAACTTTATGCAAGTAAGGCATCACATTGAAGTCAGCAGTGAGAGTATGCCACCTAAGAGGACCATCACTACATATCTGCGTGCACTGGGACTATCATATGCATGAAGTTAAGCAACTGCAGGTGCCTAAATTGATTGCAGGATGAGGGTCATGAAAATTAGAGATGGCAATTACCTAGTTCATAACCAGGGGTCTGGGGGCCTTGAGCAGGTTTCAGGGGGGCCTCCAAGCAGGGCCAGCATTAGACTCGCTGGGGCCCAGGGCAGAAAGCTGAAGCCCTACCACCACATGGGGCTGAAGCCGAGGTCCCTGAGCCCCAACACCCGGGGCTAAAGCTGAAGCCTGAGCAATGTAGCTTCGTGGGGGCCCCAGTGGCATGGGGCCCCAGGCAATTGCCCTGCTTGCTACCCCCTAATGCCAGCCCTGGCTTTTATATGCAGAAAATCAGTTATTGTGGCACAGATGGGCCATGGAGTTTTTATAGTGGGGGGGGGGGGGGGGGGAAGCTCAGAAACAAAAAGGTTTAGAACCTCTCCTTTACACTACACTCTTAAACTCTTTATCTCAGTACAAAAGACAAGCAACATATCCAATTTCAGTTATTTTCAAACTTCTAATTGGCTTCTGGTGGGGGCTGATTGTTGCTAGAAATATCAGCTGTGAAATACTTTTTGCTGCTTTTTCAAATCCATACATATTTCCAGTTTAGGCCCTGATCCCACATAAAGCTCCGTGCAGGCAGAACCCTGCATCCATGTGGAGCACCACTATCTACAATGAACTCCATTTGGATCCAACTCCAGGATGGGGGCTTAATCTAATATCGCTGGCATTTTTTTCCTCTCAACAATATTGTTTAGTGGCAGATGTTTCTCTTTGGACCAATTCTGAAAAGACAAGACATAACAGGTGGGTAAGACAACAAGAGGGGCAGGGTGGGGGTTAAAGAGGCAGGGTTAAGGGCCTAAACACTAAAAGACTGTGCACAGTTCTTAGCCAGTCAGGAGCAGTACTCCCAACTCATTAGTGGCTGTTTTAGCCACACATTAACATCTAATTTATATGTTGGCTCATATAGTTCCCCCAAAACTTTGCCAAGATGCCATCACCCTTAAAACTGCACAGAGGGACTGTGGTGGATGAAAACAACCTGCTGCACACAAGGCTGACAGTGGTCCCAATAGGCGCAAATAAGCAACACAGAAGATCTGCCCACTTCCAGAAGAAAACACCTACACCTGAAGTTCCTGCTGACTTAGCACAACTAACTTTGCAACATCCTTTTGCAGTGGCCATCAATGCATGATAGCCAATGCTGCCGGCCAGTGCCAATCTTGGATGAACAACAGAATATCAAGGCCGACAACTATGTCCTCACAGAGTGGCAGCATCTGTGGGATAGAGAGACAGGCATGCTGATGAATTTCAGAAACCCCAACTTACAGCCACGTGTTTGCAACCAGGGATGTAGATCTTGAACTAGGCTTCACAGACTGCTGACTGGAACAGCTAGAGCAGCTGCCAGAATGCAGAAATTTGACTTAGTCCAATCTTCACAGTGTGACCATGGGGCAGCGATGCAAATGGCCACACATGTGGTGGAGAAGTGCACAATTAAAAGATTGGAGGGTGGACTGCAACACCTTGCTGCCCTTGATGATGCAGCAGTAAGATGGTTGAACAATCTAGATATTGGCTTGCGACCCATACGAAAGAAAAGGACAACCTCAACCTGCCTAATAATTAATCTAGTTTAAACTCATCCTCCAGCTGTCCATGCACTAGGTTGGAATAAGGACTAAATTTTTCATACAAGAATGTTCAGTTTCAAGAGGGAAATACCCAACTGCAATCTGTGGGAGTCCTAACTTGCTCCTCCAACAACCCTTGCCTGTAACAGCAAGGTGCATCCAACAGTCACATGCCCTAATGTGTACTGCTCCAACTTGGTCAAATCATGTCTTTCCCCATTGGTTAACCCCAAGATTCTACCACCAGCAGTCAGCAGGGAAAACTATTCAGGCATTATCTATACACACAAAGGTTGTACTGCTCGATCTATAACAGTGCAGTTAAAGTGGTTCCACCCCCTACCCCCATCCCTAATGTTAACACAATTATATAAGAATGTTCACAAAATCTTGTTTCCCTCAACACAGTAAGATCAAACAACAGTAGGCAGTTTCCTTGCTCACAGTTTCCAAGCCTGCTTGTCCAGCCAGCATTCTGTCCAAAATAAGCCCTCTCTCTCCTGGCTTCCTCTTAGGACGGCATTACCAATGCTTCTCTTGCTATATGATCCTGACTTTCTGGTTGCTTTATACTTCTCATTCATATGGCTAAAATCCAATCAATGTCCCATTGTGACAATCTGCTGGGGTTCCCAGAATTGTGAGTACTTCGTCGAGTGATTGCACATGTCCATTTCACTATAGATATGTACACACCTCATGCACAGTTGTTGCAGATTTTTTCCTCAGCGGTACCTGTTGGGGCAGCGTGAGTGCCCTCTGGTGCCTCATACAACTGCTTGAGGTATAAAAGGCTGCGCTGCCCCAGATCCCCTCAGTTCCTTGCTTTGTTGGAGTTCCAATCTTTGTATCTGCAAGTCTTCCCTCTTTCAGTGTATATAGTACCTGCAGAGTTACTTTTCAGTCTAGGGTAATGTGTTTGTACTATTTAGATATAAGAACAAGTTAAGGATAGTAATTTTCTAGAGTGGAGTTATCAGTTAGCGGCTGGGTACCGGGCTCGATACCAGACTAATGCATCGTTTTCCTGGCTTCAAGGCCTGTCATTTGTGTAACAAGTCTATGCCAGTGAGCAACCAACACTCCAGCCGCCTTAAGTGTCTGGGATAGGCACATGTGAGTGACAAATGTGACATTTATAGAGGGTTCAAACCTGGATAAAAAAAGGACGGGGCTGGCAGACTCAAGTACCCGCTTATAGTGTCTGTGCTTCACCTGCCATAGGAACCTGCTCAGAATAGGTACTGAGCATGTCCAAATCATCTAGGAGTGCTCCTCCTGTTCTGACTGAATCCAGAGGCAGATCCTTATTGCCGATACCTAAGACAAGACAACGTTAAGTCTCCCATAGACTCAGTACTGGGGCTTTGAAGTCGACAGTGAAGGCACCAAGCAGAGGCAATATCTCAGAAGTGCACTCAAAGAAGAGGCACTCCTAGACACAGTCCATAAACCAGGGGGGGATTGCTGACTTGGGAGTCCAGGAAGGGTCCATTGATACCAATCCCTGAAGGACCGGTGTGCACCTTTTGGTACTGCAGACTCAGGAGCCCTTTCTGGTGCTGTCTACACCTGAAGCTTTTGAGGCAGCCAAAGAGTTCCTTACCCTGTCAGTGCCAGCTTCCCCTGCTGTTCAGGAATCTCAACCAGTACTGGAATTGGAAGTGCATGCCCCCATGGTCCTAGCGCTAGCCCCAGAGCACCATTCGGTGGCTTCTACAGTTGCGGCTCCTCTCCAGGGGTGCTAGAACAATTTGTATAGTGGGGGTGCTGAGAGCCAATGAACCAAACTGTAAACCCTAGATATGATGGAAACCACTTCAAGACAGGGGGTGTGGCAGCACCCCTAGTTCCAGCACCTATGCTCCTCTCCGTAGGGTTCCACCTAGAGGGAAGCCAGTGATGATCTCGCCAGAACCGCCATCTCCAAACTTGGAGCCAGTCTCCCCAGTACCAATAGGGTCAGTTCACCTATGGTCTGAGAAGTGGACTCTACATCAGACCCCAAGGTCGGATCATATGTGTCCCGACCTGAAAATGCCCAGTAGCCCCAGTGGGGCATCGGACCAATGTGGTACCGGCCACAGCCTCAGTACTCTAAGGACCAATGGCCTGCACATAACTGGGTCCCATCTCTATATCAATGGCCCTTTGGGGCTTCCCTCCACATTCTAAAGCCTCTATGCTCCCTTCCTGCCCTTCTACATTGGCTAGGCACCAGGAGCATCTGCAGCAATGTCACTGTCTTCCCTCCCCCAGTACAGGGACCAGTACCATGCATGGGGAACTGCATGCTGACAACTCACCTGTGGAGGAATTGGAGGAGGGAGGTCCTCAACAACCCTATGCCTCTTCTTCTTCGTCGCCTGATGAGGTGGTACCTACTTCTCCCACTCCTGATAATTTCAAAGCTCATCAAGACTTGTTGAGGAGGGTGGCTGCAGCTCTGGCTATGTAACCAGAAGAGGTGCAGGTAAGGTCACACAGGCTCATAGACATTTAAGCCCTAGGATAAGCCAACAGGATCCTCTAGGGTAGCTCTCCCTGTTAATGAGGCTATCCTGGAGCCTGTCAAAGGTTTATGGCAAACTTTCCCTTCCTCTCATTGCTAAAAGGGTGGAGAGAAGACATTATGTCCCTTCACAAGGATTTGAACATGTCTATAACCACCCTCCTATAGGCTCCTTAGTAGTCACTGCTGCTAATGAAAAAGAGAGGCAGGGACACCAGGCCTCTACCTGAAAGGAAAAGAATCAAAAAAGCTAGACCTATTCGTCAGGAAGTTTTATTCCACAGAAGGTTTACAGCTTAGGATCACAAATCAGCAGGCTCTGCTGGGTCGATAAGACTTCAGCCTGTGGGATAATATCCTGAAGTTCAAAGTCAAGCTTCCTGATGAGGCAAAGCGGGAATTGACTGCTGTGGTGGAGAAGGGCAA